GGGGGGGGGCACTGTTGCCCGACCAGTTCGTCAATTCGACAGTTTTACATCGCCCCCCTTGAAGCCTCCCGAGGCGCTATGCGGGCTCGGATGGCCTCCAAGCGGGGCAAAGGGGCGGCAGAGGCTTTGAAAACACCCCGCCTAGCCATCTCAAGCACAACCATGGCCTCCTGCTTGCCCACCTGTTCTTCAGGCTCGGCGCAGGTGACCGCAACCCCACTGCGCAGTAGGTGCAAACCTCGGTGCAGTCTTGACAGAACCTGCGCCCCACTCTCGATGCTTCATGGCTTGCACCGTCTAGCCAGTGTGCGAATCTTGTGCTGCGAATGCGCGCCACACGCCATGCAGAAAAACAGAGGCTGCCTCTCATCTCCCACTTGTGTACTCGCTAACTTGTGTCCGTGCTCTGGCGCAGACACTAACAACTCGGCCACCCGCTCAGGGAAACCTCCACAGCCCAGCTCAGACCTGTCGTGGAACTTGCCCCCATAAAAATCGAGACACTGGGTGCAACGGGATCCCCAACGCGCGGGCTCCCAGCAGTGCCAAGAAGTGGCCTTTATCAAAGATCTTTTTGGGCCGAGCTCTCGAAGGGGGCCCCTGGCGGGTCGCCCTAGGAAACAGCGGCAGCACCGCAGCGGCCAAACGGGCCACAGACTCCATCTGCCGCACATCGTGCTCCAGCCTCTGGCTCTCGGCATCCGAGTGTCGAGGGTGGATCTCTATCGCCCTTTTAGCCTCGAGGTCCGCCCGCCAGTTGGCCTGGCCTATCTTGCGTTCTAACATCGGAAGCTGATCGATATCCTCGAGTTTCTTGTGAGCTGGCGTGTGAACAGCTGGGACATGCTCTTGTTTGCGCATATGGATCAGGGCGCCTCGCCTTAAGCCTCCATATTGCTGTTTGGGGGCCAGCTGTTCCACAGGGGTCTTGTTGTGCAACTTGACAGCATTCATACAATCGCTATAGCACACTGTCCGCATGCTGGGAACAAAGATGGGCATCAGAGCCAGCTGCAACTACTCCGCAGCCTGGCTGGTCTGCGGGAGTGAGGGCCACACAGCACCTCTCGCGACATACTTTTGGTTCCCACTCTCATCAAAGAAAACCCGGGAGTACGCAGCCCGAGACAATTCCTTACTAGTGTCAGGAATACAAGAGCCATCCCCAGCTTGATACAGTTCACTCACATCCAACTGACTCCACTCCACCTGATTCCCATCATTATCATAAAGCCCATGCTCATGCTCGTCACTGGGCTGGGACCAGTAACTGGCGGGACGTTCCATCTTCAGTCCTTCTTACCGACACTGATCCCCATCCCGAGCCGCCGTGTAAAAAGGTACAGGGTAGCCCCAGCGCCTCCCGCGCCTGCGCCACGTCAACGTGCTGGCACAGGTAGATGCGATGTCCTACCGAATCGGGTTCCTGACACAGCGGGCACAAACCTAGGCCAAGGTACCCAGCCTTGACCGCACGATCCTCGGTCCACAGGCCATCACAGAAAGCAGAACGCACTAAATATTTTCCTTGGGCCGTGAGGCCTATGCCCTTGGTCCTGGGGTTCAACAAACGACGAATCGGTTCCACACACACTCGAGCCCCAGGGGCCCAACCAAGTTTGGTTGCCAGGGCCCGTTCATGGAAACGTTGGACTCCAGCTTCAAGCAAACTCGCAATCAAAGAGGGGGCCGATGAAAAAAAACGCCGATGACCCTTCCCGCGCCGCCGCCACGTTCGAGAAGGCGAAGGCGGCCGAGAGGGTCAAACAGATAAGCGCATGTCTGCCTCAAGGCGGCTGTTCCTCACCGCGCGGGCGAGGACAGCGAGACGGCGCGAGCGCGTTGATGTAGGCCAGTTGGCAGATAACATTGTACTCAAGCACACGCTGGCGCTGCGCACCGAACAGTGGCCGCTTTGCACGGATCGCCTGTGGCGCTGATTCTATCCCGCAGCGCGCCGCGGCAGAGGACGTCGACGACGCGCTGCCCATTTGCGTCGAGCTCCTCTGACAGGAGGGCGAGCCAGAGAGCTGGGCCTCTATCGCGCTCGCTGGGGCGCAGCACTTCGCACCCAGACTTCGCCGTCACCTCCATGCTTTTTGGCGCCTGCGGAGCGCCTGGGACAGATTGGAGCTGCCGGCGCGCGCGCCTCCCTTGATGTTCGAGGCCGGGCAGGCTCTTGCCAGACTCGTCTGCGCCACTTCCTACCCGTGGGCAGGCGCAGCGTTGCTGCTGGCTTTCCGTTGCAATTTGCGTACTGGAGAGTTGTTCGCAGTCCAGGCAGGCGACTTCGACTTCGACGTCGCTTGCGCGTTGGGCGCCCTGAACCTGCGCGCCACGAAAGGCGGCAGCCGCAGGGCTCAGCAGGCGGTTGCCACCACAGACGACGCCATTTTCGCGAAATGGCTTGTCCGGTGTACGAAGCACTTCGCGCCTGGAGATCCACTGGTGGACATGAGCCAGCAGAGGGTCAGAGTGCGGTTCGCAGATCTTTGCAGGACGTTGCGAATCACGCAGATGATTTCCACGCCTTACAGCCTGCGCCGCGGCGGCGCCACGTCTCACGACCGTCGCTTCGGCAGCCTCGACCGCACGATGGTGAGGGGCAGGTGGGCTTGAGTGCAAACTGCGAGGACATACATCACAGATGGCCTCGCGCCGCAGCACGAGATCTTGTGGGGCAAAGCGTACAGGCAGGAATTTCGGCGCTTCTGCAGTGCCATCTTCCGCACTGTATCGGGCCAGGTGGGGTAGAGTGGAATCACGGCCGCCTAAGGCGTCGAGGAGTTCCGTGGTGGCGAGTGCGATGCTGCTTCGCCGAGCTCTCGGGCATGCTGCCGGATTTTTTCGGCCTGCTAGAGGCGACCGATTTGGTTGCCATTTGGTTTTCCGGTTTGCTGGAGCTCTCAGCGAAGTTGAGCACCCGCACCGCTTGAGGCAGACGTGCGCGCCGCGCTTCCTGACCAAGCACCTGGCGCGAGAGAAAAACATGGAGTGAACGATCGATGTAAAGTTTTCCCGCCCTACGAAGCGGGCCGCCCACACCCCAGCCACAACTTGGACACGAGCGGGGAGGAGGAGGAGGAGGAGGAGGAGGAGGAGGAGGAGGAGGAGGAGGAGGAGGAGGAGGAGGAGAGGGAGGAGGAGGAGGAGGAGGAGGAGGAGGAGGAGGTCGCCAACGTTGTCGCCGCGCTGCATGGCACCATCCTGCAGCCGCGGGCCAAGGTCACGGGGTCGCTCGTGGTACAGAACGTGCTTCGCCCTGCTGGGAGAGGAGGCTGTTACTGACGGAGTGGTGCCAAGCACTGGAGGAGAGACTGGGTGAGCGGGCCCCCGGGGGGGCAGCAGCGAGCCGGAGACTTTCTCCTTGCTCCTGGCGGCGCGCGCGCGGCCGCCCTCGCACACAGCAGTCCGTGGAGGCGGAGGAGGGGGAGACGGGGAGGAGGACCAGGAGCAGAGGGGGCGTGAAGGAGAAGTGGGCGAGAAGGCTCCTAGCCCGCGGTCCTGGCATGCAGTGTTTGTGATGCCGGCGCAGGGCGACGGTGGACCGATGGGATAAAACGGAAGGAGGCGAAGGAGGGAGGATCGAGGGGGGTTTTCACGTACAATCGGTGCAGGGCGCCCCTTGGGGAAGGAAGGGAAGTGAAAGGCAGGCGGGACGGGATGCAAGCGGGATGAGACAAGCAAGGGGGATCAGCGCCAGTTGGGTTTGCAGAGTGCACTGCGCCCAGAGCTCGCGCCCCACGCTCTCCATCACATAGGGGAGGCAGAGCGAGGAGCTGGAGGAGGAGGAGGAGGAGGAGGAGGAGGAGGAGGAGGAGGAGGAGGAGGAGGAGGGAAACGATATCGAGGATATTGGGGGGGGGATCGTCCCGCCTTCTCCTCCTACTTTTTCCCCTGTTCCTCCACTTTGTTCCTTCCACTGTTCCTGCTCAGTCTCGTCGGTTTCCCCTGCTTCTCCTTCGGCCATCCCCTCTCGCAAGAAGAGGTGGAGGGAGCTGATTGGGCAGAAAGAGCAGGATAGCCACGCAGCTAGCCCCCCACCGCCCAACCAGCGGTTTCTTCCTGCGCCGTTGGTTTTTCGCCGGGTCTCAGGGTTGCCAAGCTTACAGGACCAGGATGGTAGCAGGAGAAGGAGCAGGAACACCATAGTGGGAGGAGAAAGAGGAGGGGGAGGAGGAGGCGGAAAGATGCTTCGCTTCCGTCGCCCAGCCGATCGTGGCACTTGAGACGAGCTCAGGTGTGGTCAGAGCTGTCCGATGTCAGACCTGGCGACCCACACGTGGCAGCTCCTGTGGCTGACGAGCCGAAGCGCGCCCCCCGTGGCTACGCCCGACAAGTCGGAAAGAAGAAGGAGGTCGACGGGCGTCGACGGCTCGTCAGGGACGCCCGGCGTGGATGCGTCCGAGGCGTTGCCTCGAGGCTGCCTGCCCGCCCCTCGCTCTGCGCCTCGCCGGGGAGGAGGAGGAGGAGGAGGAGGAGGAGGAGGAGGAGGAGGAGGAGGAGGAGGAGGAGGAGGAGAGGAGGGGGGGAGGGGGAGTCGACGGCTGCTCCGCGACAGCCCCTTTCGGGAGCGTCGGGCGGTGACGCGCGGGCGCCCGTGGTCGCCGCGAGACCGCCTGTGGAGCCTGCACGAGTCGGGCAGTCAGGAGGAGAACGAGGAGGAGAAGGAAGAGGAGGAGGAGGAGGAGGAGGAGGAGGAGGAAGAGAAGGAGGAGGGAGGAGGAGGAAGAGAAGGAGGAGGAGGAGGAGGAGGAGGAGGAAGAGAAGGAAGGAGGAGAGGAGGAGGAGAAGGAGGAGAGGAGGAGGAGGAGGAGGAGGAGGAAGAGAAACAAGGACAACATATTTGGAAAAGGAGGAGGAGGAGGGGGAGGAAAAGGAAACGGGAAAGGAGGAGGTGGAGGAGAAGGAGGAGGAGGATGAGGAGGACAAGGAGCACGATGCGGAATAGTTTTGCCGAGAAATTCGGTTTCGACCTACCGGATGGCGCCCGCACCGAGGCACCGACATGAAGACGCCGGACGGCGACAGCGGCGACGATTGGCGCCCCGCGCCGCCGAAGGAAGGCGGAGGAACATTGTGAGGAAGAGGAGGAGGAGGAGGAGGAAAAGGAGGAGGAGGAGGAGGAGAAAAAGGAAGGCCAGTGTAAACCCAAGACGCGCCCATGACGTTGCAAACAAATATCCCACCACGTTTCCCTTTTTCATAGAGGTCCCTACCGGAATGTGTCTTCATCGTGGGAAATGCCCCATTGGAAGACAACCGTCTGGGAATCCCCAGTCGAACGCAAATGAGCACTCCGATTCCTTCAATGCCGCGAATCAGCGTGACACTTGCGCCCTGACGATCCTACATCGCACCAGAAGGCCATTCCTGGGACTCCAACGCCGTTGTTCAACGTGCTTGCTGCGTCCCGATAGCCCCCGATCGTACCAGAACGCCAGTGCACATGTTCAGGACGAGTGCGCGTGGAGCTAAGGCGAAAACCACACTTTGAAAACCACCCGCCCTCCATCCTCGAAGTGGCTGCACATGTGTGAGACCGATGTGCGCGGCGCCACGGCGAAGACCACACTATGAGCACCGCCCGCCCTCCATCGCCTCAGCTGCTGCAGATGTTTAAGACCAATGTGCGCGGCGCGACTGCCAGATGTTCATGTTACGGTTGGCCCGCCCTCCATCTTTGCTGCAGCACCTCAGAAGAAAGCACGCGGCGCTGAGGCGAGAGCCCCACTTCGAAGACAACCCGCCCTCCGTCCATGAAGCCGCTGAGGCGCCAGCCACGTTTTGAAAACCACCCGCCCTCCATCGTTGAAGCTGCTGCGAAAGCCAAGCTTCGGGATCATTAGTGGTGAGGAAGTGTCCGGCGAACCGCCCGGCCCGCCTTACCGACAAGCTTGGGGGATGCGACACGGAGGAGACATCTGGAAGAAAAGCGGATGGAGGAGAAGGGAGAAGGGGTAGGATCGAGGATCCAGGTTTTGAAGTCTTGACGGTTTTGACGGTTTGGGGGCATCCAGGCGCTTCAAGAGGCGTCCTTGGAGGCTCCTGCGGAAAGTTCCAGAGATTGGGGGGCCTGAGAGTCCTGGGGAAGGGGGATGACGAGGAGTACCAGAGTGAATCCATGGTGCATCAGCGCTGCTGCAATACACCATCCCGCCCCCATCCACCCCTCATTTAGATTATGTAGAGACGTTTCTTTTCACTGCGGGAAGTCCTTCTACGTGAAAGACGAGAGCAACGTAGGCCTGCCATGCAAGCGACACGCCCGCTTTGAAACGGAACCGCCCTGCACTGCTCTAGTTCTCAAGCGTGCCACTGAGATCAGAGTTGTTTGAAAAAGGGTCCACCTTCCATCCCTCGAGCTGACGCTCACTTGCACATCTGGCCACACTGTGAGGAGATCTCAAGAGAGAGCTCAACTTTAAACCCGTCCGCCACCCGTGTATCTGGTGCACAGTTTACATGAGCGTATTGCGAAGGCCTGACGGCCGGTGCCGCCGACCCTGTTCGCAATGCGCAGCAAGAGGCACGGGCTGTGGGATGGTTTGGGGGAGCGGGGAGAAGGACGAGAAGGTGGGGGAGGGAGGTGTCGTATCTGACCCGGGACTTCCCCGGGACTCCCCCGGGACCCCCCCCGGGACCTCCTCTCCCCCCCCCGTCGGGGAAGGGAAAGGGAAGGGGCTTCCCTTCGACTCAATGACGACGTTGCTCAAGGTCGGTACGGGGGGGGGGCGTCGTATCTGACTCGGGGGGGGGGTCGCTACCCCCCCCCGCTACCCCCCCCCCCCTCCCGGCGGGGGAGGAATGAAAGGGAAGGGGCTTCCCTTCGACTCAATTACGAGGTTGCTCAAGGTCGGCTTGGCTGGAGCCCAGGGGAAGAGGAGTCCCAGGGGGGGGCGTCGTATCTGACCCGGGGGGGGGGTCGCTACCCCCCCCCCCTCCCGGCGGGGGAGGGATCAAAGGGAAGGGGCTTCCCTTCGACTCAATTACGAGGTTGCTCAAGGTCGGCTTGGCTGGAGCCCAGGGGAAGAGGAGTCCCAGGGGGGGGCGTCGTATCTGACGGGGGGGGGGTCGAACCCCCCCCCCCCTCCCGGCAGGCAAAGGGAAGGGGCTTCCCTTCGACTCAATTACGAGGTTGCTCAAGGTCGGCTTGGCTGGAGCCCAGGGGAAGAGGAGTCCCAGGGGGGGGCGTCGTATCTGACCCGGGGGGGGGGTCGCTACCCCCCCCCCCCTCCCGGCGGGGGAGGGATCAAAGGGAAGGGGCTTCCCTTCGACTCAATTACGAGGTTGCTCAAGGTCGGCTTGGCTGGAGCCCAGGGGAAGAGGAGTCCCAGGCGTCGTATCTGACCCGGGGGGGTCGCTACCCCCCCCCCCTCAAAGGGAAGGGGCTTCCCTTCGACTGGGGATGGGGCTTCCCTTCGACTCAATTACGAGGTTGCTCAAGGTCGGCTTGGCTGGAGCCCAGGGGAAGAGGAGTCCCAGGGGGGGGCGTCGTATCTGACCCGGGGGGGGGGTCGCTACCCCCCCCCCCCTCCCGGCGGGGGAGGGATCAAAGGGAAGGGGCTTCCCTTCGACTCAATTACGAGGTTGCTCAAGGTCGGCTTGGCTGGAGCCCAGGGGAAGAGGTCTCCCAGGGAAAGGGAAGGACAGAGACGACGAGTACAAAGAATGACGGAGATGACGGCTCGAACGGAAAAGCCCCTCACACACGCCGACAGGGTCGGCGGATTCGAAGCAGTATCCAGCGAGAGCTCAATTCTGAATCGGAACCGCCCTCCACTCTTGTCGGTGCTAGTATATTCATAACGCTTCGCGCATCCCCACCAGCCCACCCAAAAAGAAGCACCAGGCGAGTTGCCCTGATCAGGAATGTATGGTAGCATACAGTCACGCTCTGGGAGCCTATTGGAGGCATCTCGGGGCCATTTTGGGCGGGCCCCACGGGGGCCCTCTTGGGGCCATTCTGGAAGCATTTCTAACTCTCTTGGGTCCCTCCGCATTGGTGAAAAAGGAGGGTGGCACAGATTAGCGATCCCCCGTCAGAGCCCTCAATATCGACTCGGGGAGGAGGAGAGAGTGGAAGGAATGATGGGAAGGGAAGGCCATTGCCAGGCCTGGAGCAAAATGGGCAGGAGTGGAGGACATGGGAGGGAGTAGAGAGGGACGGAGGGACGGGGTGAGGGGGAAGCCGATGGAGGGAGGTAGTGGGGCACGGGGGAGAAACAAAGCTGGCGAGACGCGGGAGAGAGAGAGAGAGAGCGCCAACCAGGCACCGGCGCGAGCCAGCGGCCCCGCGACGCCCCAGGTGTTGGCTCGAGCCGCAGGTCATCGCGGGCCTGCCAGCGGGGGCGAAGCGGTGGGGCAAGTGCGCGAAGGCCCGCCCAGGGGGGGGGAAGCGCTCACATCCAAGTCGTCAAGGTGTGTGCGTTGTCTCCCTTTCGCCTCTTCCTCCCTCCTCTCCAAAATAGCGCTGAAAAAAAAACAAAACATCCAAGTCGTCAAGAGGGCGGCGATAAGCAGGGGAGCTCCGCAGCAACCGGCCTTCGCACACGAGCGTCCCGCGTATAGGGTCGCGCGCAGGCGCCCGCTTCCCGCGCATGCCGCCGCGCAGGGCCGCCGTGCCGTTGTTTGTCATACCCGTGTTTGTTTTTCGTCCTCCTCCTCCTCCTCCTCCTCCTCCTCCTCCTCCTCCTCCTCCTCCTCCTCCTCCTCCTCCTCCTCCTCCTCCTCCCCCCCCCTCCACGGAGTAGATCGTGGCTGTTTGGGGCGCCCCTTCAACGCCACGTCACACACCACACGAATCCTTCAGGGAATACTGCGGTTGTACGTGCCATCGCGGTGCTGAGCTTCGGCGCCGCGTGCGTCCACCTTCCTCCTCCCCCCGTTCTTCTCATTTCCCCCTCTTCCTCTGCGTCCTCCTTCCCTTCAACTTTTACCGCCCCTCTCCTCCCTCGTTCGAGCACGAACAGCATCTTCCTCTCCTCTTCTCTTCCTCCAGCTCCATTCCTTCTCCTCCCCTCTTCTTCCTCCTCCTCCGCCGTTCCCTCCTCCCCCGTTTCCACCTCCCCCTCCTCCAACCGCCACTGCCCTTCACCCTCCTTGCGCGCCAGACCGGATGAGAGGACCATCCCGCCGACAGCGGTGCCGCGCGGGAGGCGGCGGCACCACGCGAACAACCGCGCACGGTGGGGCGCGCACTCTTTGGATATGCCTCAGAGACTTGACGCAGTCGTGAGAAGAGGGATCGCATGCCGATGCCGCTAACCTTCCCTCGTCGCCACGGCTGGAGTCGTCTCGAAATTCTGGTCAGGGCACCTCCAGAGGTTTGGGGAGTACGGTAGACTCGTGTCGTGCCGACGCGGCTGCGACCCCGCCGCGGGCTCCAGGGTGCACGCCGCCGCTGTCTCCCTGCTTCGCCCTGGCGCCCGGGTGCCCTGCAGCTGGTGGCTGGCGCCGTCCGGCTTCTCCGGGGCGGCGCCGAGGGTGGACAGCCCCGGGGGCCGGGCGCTGCACTTCGCAGTCGGTTCTGCTCCCCCCCCTCCCTATCCCCGAGGTCCGCACCAGAAAGTGGTGGAGGCAAGGAAACCATGGACAATGACGACGATGTCGCGGGATTCTGCTGGTGCCGATTGTTCATCATGGTCTATACGGGCCGTCGCCGATTCGCGAGGATGGTGCACGAAATGACGCTGACCAAGATAGACGGTGACCCTGGTCGGTACGACGTTTTCGCAATTAGTTTTGGCCATGGTGCCCGTGTTCTTCCCCTCCGATTAGGCCGCCCAGAAAAGGGGGGGCACTCTTGGATAACCCCCCAGGAGTTTGTTCGGGCGCACCCCTGTCGAGGGTGGAGGCCCCCCGCATCGCATATCCCAGAGTTGGGCCCAAAATTGTCGGTCCAATTGAAAGCCCCCAAAGTCGGGGATTGGGGTCGCCATACCCCCCGTTATTGTATCTCGGGGCTCGCATCGTTTCGGGCGCCGGAGTGGGGGAGCAACGAACAACGCGCGCCGCCGCTTCTGGTGGGGGCCGGCGTTATCACAACACTCGATTCGCCAGTTCCGCGCCAATCCACGGCTTGCGCCGCATGCTTCTTGAAATTCTCAGCTCCCCCTCCCTGGGGCCCAAAACAATGTTGCCATGGCCGAACACCGCAACGTGTAACGCCCGCTGCGCTTCGGGTCCCCGTCGAAGCTCCGCTAGCCTTAGAAGCGGCTGTGCTACCAGATGAAGTGATGGTTCAAGTCGGGACGCTGATTGCTCCAGTGGAAGCCCCTGTGGCAGCGCTGCGCACTCATGAGGATGATGAGGTCTCTGGTGTCGCTGGAGGTCTGCTTCCTGCCCAGCTATCCGCGGCCCGCTCAAGGTGGTAATGTCTCGGCGACGTGCCGTTGGCCTCATAGCTGATGCAGTTGGCATTGCCCGCGATGTTCTGATGAAATCAAGGAATGGCGAGGCATCCTGACTTGCCTACAGGCCCACCGAAGAATGTTAAGATAGCGTTTTGTTGGTTGCACGACATGCTCTCAGACAATTTCTGGCTGAGGCAGTCTTGTTTAAAACCATCCTCTTATGTCATGTTAATTTTGATATGGTGTTCGGCCATCTTCTGGTTCTAAACAGATTCCGTGGCAGGCCTATAGGTATGATGGGACGGTCGGTCCCTGGTCGGTGGAAGTCGCGGGCGCCTCGCTGTGTGGCCATGGCGCTGGCCGGCGGGCGTCGCACTGGGCGTCGCCTTACCAGTGTGCGGGCCCCCCCACACCCCTCCCCGCGTCGAGAGGTGACGCCTCGAGCCAAAATGGCTACGGACTTCTCCTCCCCCTCCTCCCTCCTCCTCCGCCTCCTCCTCCTTCTCCCTCCTGGAGGGTGGAGAGTTGTGCCAAGGAGCGCTGGGCCGGGGGGGAATGCGCCAGAGCGAGGTTGTTCCCTTGTTGGGCAGCAGGAGGGAAAGTGGAGCTAGAGGAGGATGACCAGATAAGACCCCCACTTTGAGAGAGGATCGAGAGCTTGTTGATCGTATGATCGTCTACTTCCACGTACATGAGGGGAGAAGGAGGAGGAGGAGGCTGAAAGTCAGAAAGACAGGAGGGATGGGGAGAAGGGATAAGGGGGTAGAGAGGGAAGACGACGAGTATGACGAGCATGACGAGAAAGAAGCAGGAGCAGAAGGAGGCGGAGAGGACAGCGGAGGAGTAAAGGGAAGGGAATGGAAGAGGCGAATCGGGAGGTTCAGGAAGAGAAGGCGAAGGAGGAGCAGGGTCTATCCGAATGGAGCAGGAGGAAAGATAATGAGGAACAGGAGGAGACGGACTATCATGAGGAGGATGAGGAGGAAGGTGGAGGGGGAGGAAAAGAAGGAGGAGCAACAGGGGCATGTACAGCAGCGGGGACGGGAGAGGGTGAGGTTGGATCCTGGATGATGCGGGGGAGGCTTCCGCCGCCTCCTCGTCATGCCTCCCCTCCCCCTCCCCCCGACAGCCCTCGCTCTCCCCTCCCCTCGCCATGGAACAAGGTCCCAGGGCTGTTCGCTGTTTTCAAGCTCCTGGGGCCTCGGGACCATCAACAACAGATTTCAGTGACTCAGGGTGGAAACTTGGTCCCCATGTAAACCCCGGGGGGCCAGAGCCGGGGTCCCTCAGGACCCATCCTTCCTCATGCCAGCCTCCCATTGTTCTTCTCTGCCCTCCTCCTCCTCCTCCTCCTCCTTCTCCTCCACCTCCTCCTCCTCCTCCTCCTCCGGAACAAAACCTCCCGGAAGGTCGTGGACTACGACAGAATACGGCAAGAGAGCGAGGACGTTCCCTTCGGGGAGGTCCTTCGCCCTCCCACTGCGCACGCTGCGTGAGCGCGAGACGGCCACGGTCGCGAGCTGCCTCGATCTCCTGCTGTCCCCGCCTGCGTCCCGGTGAAGACCAGCCGTCCGTGACTTGGCCTTCGCCCGAGGCGGGGATTTATCCATACCCTCGGAGGAGGAGAGGGTACCGACACCACCACCCCTGCCTCGTGTTCACCTTTCTTGAGCCTCCTCGGAGGTTCTCGTCGCCACCGCTGGCTTTGCCTCGAAGTTCTGGTCAGATCGCATCCCTGGAGAGGTCCGGGGAGTGGCCGTATAGGTACCTCTTAGCTTCCCCATAATCGTTGTTTGCAGGATCGATCTTCGGGACCTCGGCTGGCGGGGGACCTGGACGTATTCGGGCCCCCTTGGGGCCCATCTATATATATATATATACATACATACATACATACATTCATATCCATCGCCCGCTGGGGTCTCAGGACGTCTGCTCTCCAGGCGGTGGACATGGATACATCCCCGCCTCGCACTTCAGGTGGAGGGCGGAGGGAGGGAGGAGGAGGAGGAGGATGATGATGAGGAGGAGGAGGAGGAGGAGCAGGAGCAGGTGCGTCCTCAATCTGTGCCCCCCTCTCTCTGGTAGTCCCGCCCGCCGCTCCGTGGAGGCCATCGCTCAGAAATTTGGCCCGCCGGGGAGGGGGGAGCAAGGGGAGAGCGGGGGATGGGGCAGGACGCTGCCATTCTAGGCGGCCGAGGTGGCCCAGCATTGGCTCTGGCCAGCAGAAAAGGGGGTAAAAAAGGTGTCCCCTCTCGTTGCCACGGCTGGACGCGGCTCGACCAACCTGTGAGGTTCGACGCCGGGAGGGTCCAGGGTCCTGATGTTGAGTGGGTTGGCCTTCGTCCCCCCTTCCTTGACCGATCTGCTCGGGGCTCATCCAGCGCAAACCCCCTGGCCGCTTTCAAGCCCAGGGCGGTCGTGACGATGTCCCGGGTTGCCCAGGTGCCCCAGGGAGGGCCGCAAGGAGGGCCAAAGGGGTGAACCGGAGGGAGGAACAGCGATGGAAGAGGCAGAGAGGCGGAAGGGGAGGAACGTCAGGAGGATGAGAAGGTAAGGAGTTCAGGGGTAGCAAGAGGACATGAGCCTCGAGTGGCCGGCCGTGTTGTTTCGTGCTGAGCAGAGCGCTTGCTGTCACAATCAGGACGCCTCCTGGCCCACGTGAGTGCCCGGTCTGTATATTCTCAGGGAGAAAACAAACACCGAATGAACGTCGATCTCGAGGAAAATACTTGAAACTATGGGATGTGGAGGGGAAGTGTGGAACTTCATATAATACGGAGCAATATAGAGAATCCCTTGGGTTGTGTGTATATCTTTGTCTGTCCCTGGGCCCCTTCATACCATACCGACGCGCGTGCGCCCGAGCGTTTGGGCGCCACTGTTCGGCTGCCGTGGAGTCCTTCGGGTGGTGTTGGGGCATCTTTGGTTTCTTTCGGTGCCCGAGGGAGGGCGTAAAGCACGAAGATTTCAGGCGCCCTCTTGGGGGCAGAGCACTTTTGGCCTGTCATGTCGGCTGTCCGATGCCCTCTTCGGGCCCCATGGGGTTGTGTGGGAGCCTGCTGGGATTCCGTCGGGGCCTCCGCTGGGCTCCGTTTGGGCCATCGCTGGGCCAGTTGGGGCCCTGCTGTGCTCCTCCGGGGCCGAGGTTAGGCATCCGGGGGGGCTTTCTTCTCAGGGCCTTCTCGCGGGCTTCTGAGGCCCATCTGAAGGGGCAATGGCGAGAACGCGAAAATAACGTCAACAAGGACAACAGGTGTTTTCACTTTGGCCTGCCGGGGGCCTCGCAGGGACGCCCCAGGCTTCCGGGCCATCGTGGAGCCGACCTGTGTCCGGTTGGAGCCATCGTGGTAAGCGTGGGACTTTTGGGCAGTGTTCGAGGCTATCCTGTGCTATTCCGGGCTGCACGGAAGAGATCATTTTGTGCCACTGGGGGGCCTCCAGAGATTGCCGGGCAACTTCGGAATCCTCTCAATGGGTCCAGACATGCGGTGAGGATTTTGTTCCCCCTCCCCCCGCCTGTCCCCTCCCTGGCTCCCCCCCCCCTCGCAGACGCAGCTTTGGATCCCCGGAGAAGGGGAACAGGTTGAGGATGAGGTAGCCAGACCTGTCAGACGCTTTTTCACCCCGTGCGGCCTTGTAAAGATAATCGTTTTATGATTGGGCTCGAAGATGCAGGGAGAGGGGGAGGAAGGGGAGCTGAGGAGCAGCAGGAAGTGCAAGAGGAGTGACGGGACTCTGTTACATATTTGCACAACAACGCCACGAATTCCACGGGATATATCTGATAGGAACATATACATTTTAAGTTTTTGAAGCCCAGCGGTCGCGTCAGATGTATTGAGGATGATGCTAGAAGTCGTGCACATGAGGCACCAACCGCGAGAGAGTGGACCCGTGCGTGAACCGTCTGTCGCTCTCAGTCTGACGTCTGGCGATGCACCGACTCCTCTTTGCGGTCGCCGCCTCCCGCCTCTAAACATCTCACATGTTTCTGCGCCCCTGGCAGGCGGAGGGCAGCGCATGAGCTCAGGAGCCTGAGGCCTCCCCAGGGCCACCATGGACATTCGAACAGCTCTGCAATGGCCTGGGGAACCATCTGCGCACGTTCCCATGTCGCATATCGAATCTCGCGTTGCATGCATGATCCCTTCTTCAGTATACTCGTGCACCCGTTCCGCCTGTGGGGAAAAGACAGACTCGTGGCCCCGGGTCGCGAGGCAGCCCAAGCACACGCGTCCAGCAGCCGGAGTGCGGTCTGTGGTGCCGCTCGGCGGCGGAGAGGGAGGGAGGAACCGAGAATCGAGCAGACGACGACGAAGCCGCAGGCGGGAGGCCAGTGCCGTCGGGACGAGCCAGGAAGGAAGTCGGACAGGCGGGAACGGACAGGGAAAGCAGCAAGCAGGGAGTAAGGGCGGAGAGCAGGAGGAGGAGGAGGAGGAGGAGGAGGACGAGGAGGAGGAAAAGGAGGAGGAGGAGGAGGAGCACTGTGGTTTTGTTAGTCTAGCTTTGCTGGGCAGGTCACACTAACCCGTTTGCATTCATGTGAGTTTCAGGAAGAGGAAGAGGAGGAGAGGAGGAGGAGGAGGAGGAGGAGGAGGAGGAGGAAAAGGATGTGGAGGAGGAGGAGCGAGAGGAGGAGGAGGAGGAGGAGGAGGAGGAGGAGGAGGAGGAAGGGCGGGCAGACGGGCCAGGGCAGGAGCGCGCACTGATCACGCCGTCTGCCGTCTGATCGGGCGGATCTTTCTCACTCAGCTTTTGCCAGCCCGAAGGATATCCTCATTGCGAAGGCCTTGCGACCGTTGCCGCGGACCCTGAAGGGGGACGACGACGACAACGGCGGCGGCGACGACGACGCTGACGTGGGCCAGAGGGATGCTTCTTGGGATCTCTTCGGAAGGCTCTCGAGGGCCTCTGGGGAGGAATTCTGCGGCCTGCTGGGAGCCTCTTGGGGGCCTCTTGGGAGCCTCTTGGGACTCTTCGGGCGTCCTGGGGACCTCTTGTAGGCCTCTTGGGGCCTCCCGGGAATCTCTTGGGGCCTCTTGGGAGCCTCTCGGGGCCAAGGGCTCGAGATGTCCGTTCGGGTCCCCCGTCTGGGCACGCTCTCGGAGCCGTTTTGGGGGGGGGGGCTGTCTGGGAGGCGTTGTGAGGTGTCTTGGGGTCCTCTCGAGCTGTGTGGGGGCCCTCTTGGAGGCCTCTTGGGGCGATCTTGAGGGCCTCTTGGGCAGTCTTGGAGCGGCGGAGAGCGGAAAAGACGAGAATTCCCAAATCCCGAAACACATCTTCAGGAGATCAATGAATTTTGCCTTCTCGGGAGTGCTCCTGCGGCCTTCTTGGGACGTCTTGGCAGCCTCGTAGGCAGTCTGGAGGGCGTCAAGGCGTTTTGGACCGAATTTGGCGACTGGGAGACCTCTTGGACCGTCAGAGGGGGCCTCTTGGGGCACTCTTGGCACGGGATAATTACAGAAATCTCCAACATGTCGGTGTCCTTTTTTCTCCGACAGACAGTTTTTGCACTAAAGGGTTCTTATTTCTTGCTCTGGGGGAAGTGGGCCAGGGTGGCGGGCTGGCGGCTCCGTGGTCGCCGTCGCCGCCACGTCGCCGCCTTGTCGCCGCCCGTCGTCTGGGTCTGGGTGGCGGTCTGGCGGCTCTGTGGTCGCCCTCGCCGCCTCGTCGCCGCCCCGTCGCCGCCCGTCGTCGGGGCCCGCATTGTTCGGCATGGCTCTGCGCTGCTATGCCGTGCGTTGCATTGCATTGCTTTGCTTTGCACTGCTGGCGTTGCTGCACCATGCTTTGCAATGCCGTGCGCTGCACTGCTGTGCTTTGCTTCGGATTGCCTTGCGCTGCTTTGCATTGCGCCGCATTGCTTTTTTTGCGTTGCCTTGCATCGCTCTGCATCGCTCCGAAGTGCTGGCGTAGCATTGTGTTGCATTCCAATCGCGTTGCTTTTCACTCGCACTGCGTTGTGCTGCTTGGAAGTATTTCTTTTTCGCTGAGCCGCATGCATAGTCCTTTCCAGAGGGAAGATCGATACTACTCCCCGGGTTTATCTGTACCCCTTGGCACGCTACAAATGCCGCATGATCCTGTCCATTGTTCGTTCCAAAGGCGAATTCATACCATTCCAGAGATTCCCCTTTTTATCCCCCCCACCTATTCCTGTCGAAAAGATATGCGCGCGAGCTCGTTGATCCAAAATCACCAATTGCCAAGAACAAATTGCAGCAAATGCAACAAAACTTCACACGCGCGCGGTGTCGCGCGCGCATGTCGGAATCCGTGAAACACCATGGGTTTCGCAGGGGGTTCAGGACCGAGGTTCCCAAACACATCAACACATACACACACACGATGTTTCAAACGTTCTTCGTTAACAAAACATGCACGCGCTCATACGTTTTCTATGCGGAGGCCACACGGTTTTCAAGTTTTGTTTATTTTGGTCGAGTGCCTTTTGCGCGCCTGCTGGGGGGTACAATCACTGTCAAATGATACCATGCGGGTTGCGCGCACGCGTCGGCCGCGTGCGTATGTCGAAGTGATTCAGAGACCTCGCCAGCGTCATCGGCGTGCCCAGCATCGGCGAGGTTGCGCGCGCCAGCGCGGCCGCAGAAATGCGCCAGCCAGCGCCAAGCAGTCATCGCAATGGCCGCCGCATGGATTTTGCAAACCAAGCTGCGGGCTGGCGGGCGGGATGGTTGCGCGAACAAGGAGCCCCTTTCTTCCCCCCCCCCTTTTAACCCTCGTCGCACAGTTCCATGCGCACGCAATATCAACACATACAAATTTTCCGCAAGCAGTAGATGTGACAAAAGCTACACGGGCGCGTCGTCGCGCGCGCATGTCGGAACCCCTCCAAGCCTGAAGGTTTCGCCAGTATTGTATGGCCGATGCCAGCGAAAATCAAGAACACCCAATGGTTTCCCAAAGTTGCTTGCGTTTCAAAACAAATCTGCGCGAACGCTCTTGCGAATCCTTTCTAGGAAACCACAGGGCATCAACATTTTCGCCCTATGAGACCACGCGGGCCCCCCGCGCGCACATGTCAAAATCATTCGACCGCCCTTGCGCGCCTGCTGGAGGGGGCACGATCCCTGTCAAATGATAGCGCGCGGGCTCTGCACGCGCGCCGGCCGTGCGCGTATGTCGAAGCGCTTTCGAAAGTTTCATCGGCGTCATCGGCGTGACCAGCATCGGCGCCGTCATTGGCCCTGCCGTCGTCATCGTCACCGTCGTCACCATCATCGCTCTCATTTTCATCGTGTCCATCCTTGTCGACGTCACCGCCGCACCGTACCCGCCCGAGCCAACCACCCGCACTGAAGGGCCCGCCCGCCAGCGCGGCCTGGTTGACGCGCCAGAAAGATCCCATTGGTCAGCGCCAACGGGGCCGCGGCGGTTGCGCAGGACGAGCTGGCCGCGTTGCGAGCGAGCTTGCGCGAGCCAAAGCGGCTGGAGCGACGCCAGCCAGCACCAAGGCGTCGCCGCAATCGGCGCCGAAGGTTTGCTGCAAACCGCGTTGCGGGCGGGCGGGCGAGATGATTGCGCGAGCAGTGGAGTTGTCACCTCCAAGCTCTGCAAAATTATCATTGCCACGTAGATGGCGCCACGCCGATTCTCCGCTCCGAAAGGAGCATCGATTCTACGCCCCCCCCCTCTCTCGGCTGGTTCGCCACCCTTCCATATGATACTATTTGCGCGCAATTCTGCTTCGTTTAGTTTGTATATGAGCTCGCGCCAGCCCAGGGAGTCCCCCATCGCCCCCTGGCCCCTCCCCCGTCGGTTAATTCTATGCGCGCAACGTATATTTGAACCGAAATGAACATTATTCACTGCCTGGAGCTCCCCATATGTGCATCTATTCGCGTGGACTTGTCCGCCGTGAGAGTCTAGGCGCAAGAGTTTTCGAATATAAGCGGGCTTGAGTTGTGACGGTCTGGTCATGAATCTAACTTCGAACGGATTGGAGCGTGAGTGAGTCTCGGTAGTACGGGCGCGTCTCTGCGCATGAGCCTGGGGCCTCCTGGGGCCTCCAGAAACCTCCTGGGCCTTCCTGGGGCCTCCAGGAGCCTCTTGGGGCCTCCTGGGGCCTCTTGGGGCTTCGAGTGGCCTCCTGAGGCCTCCTGGAGCCTCGCGTAGCCTCCTGGAGCTTCCTGGAGCCCTCCTGGGACCTCCTAGGGAGGATTCGTGCCCAAGGAGAGGCCCGATCTATATAGAACAGACGTACATAAAACATTGCGAATTGGAGCCACAGGAGAAAGGGAAGTCTAAAGGAGCACACGTAAAACACCAAGGACTCGTGCCCCAGGGGAGGCCAAATCTATACGAACAGACGTAACACATTTTTTTGGATTGTGTACACAGGAGAAGGATAATGTATAGAAACGTACGTATCACATCAAGGATTCGTGCTCCAGGTGAGGCCCAATCTATAGGAGCATACGTAAAACATATGGGATTGGAGCCACTCCTGTTGCCTTCTGAGGCCTCCTGCTCCTGGGGCCTCTCGGGGCCTCCTGTTGCCTGGGCCTCCGGGCGCTTCCTGTGGCCTCCTGGGGCCTCCTGTGGCTTCCTGAGGCCTCCTGAAGTTTCCTGGAGCCTCCTGGAGCCTCTTGGGACATCCTGTGGCCTCTTGAATCTTCATGTGGCCGCCTGATGCCTCCTGGGACCTCATGTGGCCTCCTGAGGCCTCCTGAAGCCTGATGGAGCCTCCTGTGGCATCCTGGGGAATATGTGCCCACGAGTCTGGCCACCAAAACAGGCAAACCGATCGAGATATCCTCAAATTCTGGCCCCCCTGGGGGGCGAAAATGAGCGCCTCGCTCGAGACATCCTCCAAATCTGCTCCGACAGCGGAGGATGCTGGGGACCAAAACAAGCAAACCGCTTAAGACATCCCCGCCATTTGGGCGCGAACGGAGGCCGTGCAATACCCCTGGCGGCCCCCCCCTTGGGAGGCGCCTCGCACGAGACATCTTCAAAATCTGCTCCGAAAACGGAGGATGTTGGGGACCAAAACAGGCAAACCGCCTGAGACATCCCCACCATTTGGGCGCGAACGGAGGCCGTGCAATACCCCTGGCGGCCCCTCCTGAGGAGTGCTAAAGCCAGCAAGCCGCTCGAGACATCCTCATCATCTGCTCATCGTCATCATCATCATCATCATCATCATCATCATCATCATCATCACCATCACCATCATCACCATCATCATCATCATCATAATCATCATCATCATCATCATCATCATCGTCGTCGTCGTCGTCGTCATCATCATCATCATCGTCATCATCATCATCATCAGCATCAGCATCAGCATCATCATCATCATCATCATCATCATCATCATCACCATCTTCATCTTCATCATCATCATCATCATCATCATCATCATCATCATCATCATCATCATCATCATCATCATCATCATCATCATCATCATCTTCATCTTCATCTTCATCTTCATCTTCATCTTCATCTTCATCATCATCATCGTCGTCGTCATCATCATCATCCGATTCTTTCGCGGCGCTGGTCGGGGGGTACGGTGGGGCCCGTCGCGCCGCGCGTGCGCCGCAGCCGCGCCCCCGGCGGCGCGGGATGGTGGCCCTGGCGCGCCCCGCGGGCGAGCTGGCGCCCGCGGAGGCGCACGCGTGCCTCGCAGAGTTCCTGTGGCCCGCGGAGGTGTGCCGCGCGGCGCTGGCGGCCCCCGCCTGCGCCGCGCTGGTCGGGAGCACCGCGTGGGCCGCGCGGCGCCCGTGGGCCAAGTCTCCTCCTCCTCCTCCTCCTCCTCCTCCTCCTCCTCCTCCTCCTCCTCCTCCTCCTCCTCCTCCTCCTCCTCCTCCTCCTCCGTTGCGGTTTTCCTGCGACGAGCGATGCTGCCTCGCTTCGGACCCCAGGGGCCGTCACGGTTCGAGGCGGCTCGAAAAACATGCCGCGGGAAGGTGGGGCCCACGGTGCCGGTCGAGATGTTTCGGTGTGCTGCCTCGCCACAGCGGATCTCCGGGGAGACGGGTCCGGGCCATCCATGGCCTCGCGGTCCAGGACCCTGGGCCGCGACCCCGTGCATGCAGGGCGGCTCTGCGCGGATGCTCCGCGCGGGATCCATCCACGGGATCGCGTGTCCGTGGGACCGCGCTCTGGTGGCCACACCGCGATGGCGTGGGCATGTAAACGTTCGTCGCCCGCGAGGTGCGCCCGCGAGTTCGGCCCCGGGTGCGTGGACCACCAGCTCTTCCTGCATGGCCGCAGAGGCCCGCTGGACGAGCTCTGGTGGGATCTCTACCGGGGCCTGCGGAACTTCCACCGCCGCCTCTTGGACGGCTCGTTCGATGTAGACTGGCGTGCGGCGCAAGAGCTGCGCCTGGGACCGGCGCCCGGGCCCTCGTTCCAGGTTCTCGAGAACGCGCACCGGGCAGTATTCTGCGGCGGCGCTGAGAGGCTGAGTGTTGTGGAGCTGCGCGACGACGGCAACGTGGACGCCAGATTCATCAAGGCCGTGGACTTTCTGGAGCTGGACATGGTGACCCCCGACGAGGCCATCTGCGTGAGCCACGAGATGGCCCTCGAGCGGAGGTTGGTCCTCGCCTCAGGGGAGACGCAGCTGCTGCTGTCCTGCCCGACCAGACTGGAGAGCGAAGAGGCAGGTCAGCTACACAAAAAAGATGGGGTCGATTGCGCCGACATTCACGCGTAAGCTTCCAGCGCAGATGGCACGTGAGCGTCCTCGCTTCCAATGTAGCGTGCCGCGCTGGCGGCCCGCGTAAGCCGCGGCCTAAGGTCTCTGTGGTATCTTGCGAGAGAGGCTCCTTTCTTATCGTCGCTCAGGTGACCAGCGCGTGCGGGTTGTCATCGAGCACATCGCGTCTCGCGCGTTCGTCATTCTGGGAGGCACCCTCCACGCGCACGACCTGGAGAGTCTGCGTCACTGCTACACCGTCTCCTACGGCGCCACCGAGGCGCGCGGGGGTCGAGAGGGCGCGAGAGAGGCCTTCGCATCTGAAGTGTGCCCAGGAGGCGTCTGGGAGTCCAGATTAGAGAGCCTACCGTTTCATCTGGACGAGCTCATCCGAGACGAGTTAATTTGGGCGAGTTCGTCTGGACGAGTTCATCCGAAAACAAATTCATCCGAAGACGCGTTCATCCAAAGACGAGCCCTTCCATAGACGAGATCGCCCGCAGACGAATTGATCTGGGCGAGTTCATCTGGACAACTTCGTCCCTACTAGTTCGTTCGGCGGAACGTTCCTCAGGATGAGTTCGTCGCCGAAAGAATTGTTCGGGATGAATTGGTCGTCCTCCCGTAGGCTCAGACAGACGTGAAGCGTCGGAGGAAACCGCGGTCGACTGCTCAGCCAAGCTCGCGTAAGCTTCCCGCGTAGTGTCGCGCGTAGGCGCCCCCCTTCTCCACGCGGCGTGCCACGGTGCCAGCCCGCGTAGGCCACTGCCTAAGGTCGCCACGTCATCACGCGCTAGATCCGTTTCGTTTCGTCGCTCGAGTGGAGCGTCGGAAGACGCAGACGATGCTCGATCCTCCCACACCCCCTCCCCCCACAAAGGGGCGGAGCGAGGAGACTTTCCAGCACCTGGTCGTCCGCTGGGACTTCGGGCGGAGCTTCCTGGTGTACAGGCCTGTTGGAGCGGCCCGGGGGCGCTGCCGGGGTCAGCCGCGCGGCCGCTTGCATGCGTGAGCCGTCGATTTGTGGTGGGGGGGAGGAGAAGCTTGGAGGATGAGGAGGAGGAGGAGGAGGAGGAGGAGGAGGAGGAGGAGGAGGAGGAGTGAGCGGATCATGAGGGAGGAGGAGGAAGAGGAGGAGGTGGAGGAGGAGGAGGGAGCGGATCATGAGGATGAGATGGAGGATGGAGGAGCTGGATGAGAGGGAGGAGGAGGATGACGACGACGATGAAGAGGAGGAAGATAGGGGGAGGGAGGGAAGGCGGGCCGGTTCAGTGTCTCTCACTTCCATTATGCCTCCTCCTCCTCCTTTCCCTCCGCCTCCTCCTCCTCCTCCTCCTCTTCCTCCTCCTATCCTCGTCCTTCTCCTCCCCACGCCCCTCATCTTTCCACCTCCCCGCCGTCCCCATCCTCGCTGCCTCCTCCTGAACCTCCTCGTCTCCCCCCTGCCCTGCCAGGCCCTCGCCTGGAGAGTGAAGCCCCATCCGGCGTGGGACCCATACTCTGGAGAGGCAAGGAACAACAAAAGCCAGAACTCTGCACGGATTTGACGAAGTCCACGCGCTCCTTATATTTGAATTTTGGTGAAGGCCTGGGCGTTCCCCGACCCCTGACAGCCACTTCCTTGGTTTGCAACTCATTGGAGGTTTGCACCTCCCCGGTGCGCCATGTCTGCGAATGAGGCGTACATTCTACGCTGTCCGCCCTAACTTGGCTTGGTCTGGCGTAATCCGTCACTCAGTCTGGCTTATTCCGGCTAGTCGTTCCCCACATCCCTTAACAGTTCAAATCGTACATTCAGCGACCTCCCAAGGTTTGCCACCTGCCCTTCTTACTTTCTTCCCCCTCGCCCTGCCACCCTCCCCATCCTATCTCCGCCTCCCCCCGCCCTCGCAACGACGAGGAGCGTCGAGTCACAGTCGTCGCCGTTGCCATCAACGCCATCGTCGTCGTCGCGATCCCACGCTCTGAGAACCCGATGTCTGTCTTCGGAAGCCCTCCGAGGCTTTTGGAAGCACGGCCCCCGAGATGCTCCAAACTCTTTTTTTACGCGTCGCTGCTGCTCGTCGGCCGAACAGCCCTTCAGAGAAGCTGGATCTAGAGGCTACCCGTCAAAACTCTGGGGGGAAACCAATTTGAGGTCTGCAGGCAGGGGTCAGACCCCAAACTGGAGACCACTTTAGGCCCTGACCCCAGACGTGGGGGCTAAAACCAGCCCAGAATGAGAAAATTAGAGGAGCGTGCCACCCGCTGTGGGATGGCGCCCCTCGAGGCTCCTTGCGATCCGACGCAGGTGAGCCTTGCCAGCAGCATCGAGTCGCCCCGACTCGTCTCTGCCGCCGCCGTCGAGTCGCCCATCCTCGTCTCCAAACTGGCCCCGCCCCCCGTCATCGTTGTCGCCGCCGACACCGTCGTCCCGCGGGCTGGTGTCGTCGTCGTCGTCGTCGTCGTCGTCGTCGTCGTCGTCGTCGTCGTCGTCGTCGTCGTCGTCGTCGTCGTCGTCGTCGTTGGCCGCCATCGAAGCCGCCACGACCGTCGCCGTCCTCGCTGGCTGTTACTGTCGCCGTCGCTGGCCGTCGTCTTGGCCGCTGGCAACGCCGTCTCGGCCGATGTCGTCACGCCAGATGAGCCACAGGAGAAATGGGTTCGACGTCGCGGACATCGCGCGTGAGTTTCCCGCGCAAGGTAGAACGTGTGAGCGCCCTCTTCTCCTCGCGGCGTGCCACAAAGGCGGCCCGCGAAAGCCGCGGCGTACGGCTCTTATGGCATCTTGCGTGGAACCCCTCCCTTCTCGACGCTCAGCTCATGCCGCCGTCGCCGCAGGCTGTCCGCCGCCGTCGCTTCAGGCCGTCCGCCGCCGTCGGCGCAGGCCGCCGCCCACGTCGCCACCGGCCGCGGCCGCCGGCCGCCGCCGCCGCCGCCGTGGTCTTCGGCGCCGCCAGCCTCGCCCCGCCCCGCGCCCGCAGCGACACGGGCCGTCTCGCGTCGGTGTGGTCGACGGCCGACGGGCGCTCCAGGGGCCACCTGCGCTCGCAGCTGGACCTGCTCTGCTGTGGGGCGCTCGGCGATCGCCGCGCCGGCGCGCGGGCTGGCCACACAGTCAGGCGGAGCCCGCTGCGGAGCCCTGCTCCCCCTCGGGCGGGGCCGGGGCAGGGGCACGCCGTTGCCGGGCGTTCCGGAGCGCTCGGAGCGTTCCGGGACGCTCTTGGAAGGCCGCGGCGCCCGATGCGCCCTCCAGAACTTCGAATACCAAAGCAAGTACACAAACGTGAACTTCCCCCCTAGCGGCGCCTCCGGCCCCGCCCCTGGCGCACTCCGCGCGCCAGGGAGGGTTTTTAGCGACGATCCAGGATATCCGCCGTGCCTCCAACAGTTTACGTGTATGTAGTTCTTTGTTCCTCTAGAGACGCCAGACTTCAGAGATCCCCGACGTGTCCTTGTCCGATCTTGTCCCTGTCTTGGCGTCCTTTTCCCCCCCAGGGACCATCGGCGTCGGCCCCCCTGTCGATAGGTCGTCGGCGCGGAGGGCTCCCTCGGAACGGGGGGGGTAAGGCTTAGGAGCACAGATCCCCCAGGTGTGCCTGCTCGGGCACGGGCAGGGGGGGTGGGCAGTCGGAGGCTACAAGGCTACAGGCTGGACTGAGGCTGGTCTAAAGCAGCCGTACAGGCTGGATTGCGAGGCTGGTCTAAAGCGGCCGTCGTAGAGAAAACGGGATCGGTGCCGACCCCGACAGTCTCCAGACTCTCAGCCAGCAGATGGCTGAATGCAGCAGCAGGCCTTGTCTGAGTAAAGTAGTGTATTCGCACACCAACAACAACAAGAGGGTAACCTCAACATATTGTTACGTCGAGCCTGTCCCTCTACAGGAGGAATATCCAAAAATAGTCGAAACATAGTACGGGGACGATTTTTGAAGTTTTTTTATACCATTTAGGAGCATTCTGGGGGTATCTTTAATTTTTCTTCCAAGATCCCCCTGTAGGGGGACAGGCCCGACCTAAACATATTGTGATCAACCTTCACGGATTTCGCAAGCGCATTTCAGGCGCAACATGCCCAGATCGTGGACCATCAGGTTCGAGAAGTTCTGTTGGGCAATCTGGCAGCTGCAACGGCGCAGGCTCGCCAGAATGATCAGCAAGCTGTTGAATAGAGAGAGCCAAACACATTCTGGAGCGAATAAGAGCCATAGAGCACGAGGCCCAAAGACAACGCACACTGCAGACAAGGCCTGTCATGCTGGGGAATCGAAACAGCAAAGTAACTCAGCAGTTTGACCATGCTGCAATTGCGCGGGCACAGGTTCAACACGAAACAGCCGAGATCGCACCCAGTATCCAGGAGATAATGAAATCCCTCGCCTTTGTCCGGGAGGGACCGCACAGTACTGACGGACAGTGTTCTAGCAACGGCGATGTGGTTTCGATGCAAGAGTTGTTGTCCCCACCAACGCCCCAGTTCTCTTGCTGGGCCCCCTCCTCCCTTTCACCTGCCTTGCGATGCTCGCAGCTGCCTATGATTGGGCCCTTCGCCAAGCTAAACCTTGGCGTGCTAGCGATAGCACACAGGGGATCGATATCGCGAAGGCCTTACGGCGGGTGCCGCCGACCCTGAAGACGATGATTCTGACCACAACGAGGTAGGAGGAGGAGGAGGAGGAACCGCATGCGGAGGAGGCGGAAGACGACGCCGAGTAGGTGGAGGAGGTGCAGAATGATAAGGAGGAGGAGGAGGAGGAGGAGGAGGAGGAAAATGAGGAGGAGGAGGGTGGCGAGCATGTGGAGGAGCACGGGGAGGTGGAGGCAGAGGTTGGGGGAGGGTGGGGGGGGGGCTGACCACCGGGGGGGGGGAGTACAGGGGGAGGTAGAGGAGGAGGAAGATGACGGGTCTGGGCCGAGGATGGTGTGGAATAGGAGCAGGAGGGGGATATGGAGGAGGGATACATGGAGGGGGGTGGGGGGGGGGCGACTCGCGGGTGGTAGTGGTGCTCGCAGCTGGAGACGGAGAAAGAGAAGAGCTCTTGGAAGACTTACAGGAACCCCACCAGGCAGCACTTGGCATTCTAACGCTCCGCTGTCGCAGAAGCAGCTCGTCGTCGTGGTCGTCGTCGTCGTCGTCTTCGTCAGCCGCTTGGGGCTGCTAGGGGAGTTTTGCCGCCGAGGGCTCGTCGAGCCCCCCGACTTCGGCTGCTGGGGGATTTTGTGGCCGAGGGCTCGTCGGGTCACCTGTCTTCGGCACCCTGTGGAGGAGCCTTGGAACTCCAGGGGCCTCTCGGAGGTCTAGTGGCGAGTTCCTGCAACTTCTTTGGGCTTCTGGGACAACGCGGGGGTTCCGGAACCGCGGGGGGGGGAAAACTTATCTGGGTGGCGACCCCCCCAGAACCCCCCGGGACCCCCACCCCCCCCGGCGCGGGGAAGGGATCAAAGGGAAGGGGCTTCCTTTCGATTCCACTCCTATGTTGTTCAATTTCGCTTAGGACGGCGCGTATGACGAAAAGGGCCCAAGTGGATGGAACAGAGGACGACGGAGCCGACGATGCCAACGGGAAAGCCCGCCCCGACTCGAATGGAAAAGCACACGCCGACAGGGTCGGCGGATTTGTCTCTTACGATCACGTTTCGTACGCTGGTGCACCAGCGTACGAAACACATGCTCAGATGCCCTGCCCGTCTGTATGTAGATGAGCGTGGTTTTTGTCCTGTATGCAAGACTGACTTTAAGCAGAGATTGCGATGCATAGCACACTTATCGGATAGTCGACGTCAGCGCTGCTGGGCGCAACTGATGCGTACCGCTCCTCCTCCCCTCCCGCCAGAGACTGTGTCAGCGCTCGACCTCGCCGATCGCGAGGCGCGACGCGAAGCTCGACGGAGAGGCCACACCCACCCGCTTGCAGTCTCCAGTGCATGCACGCGCGAGGGTAAATGTATAGGATTTGCACGCATGTGACGCTGGTGACCCTTCGCACTACTAGGGGGGAAGTCAGCAGATCAATGCAGAGTGTGAGTCAGTGTATAGCTTTCTTGAGACACCGTGAGGTAACCTTGCAGAATTACGATCACGTTCGACCCTACAGGGCACTCCACCGAAAGCCCCCCAGTGGCAGCGCCCGCCTGGCAGCGCCCTGCGCATTTTCGGGACACCCCTTCACGCGTCTCGTGACCCCACACGGGGGCCCCACCGAAAACCCCAGTGGCAGCGTCCGCGCGGCGTCACTCCGCACGTGTCGGCGCACCCCTCACACGTGCCGTGGCCCCACGCGGAGCCCCACCGAAGGCCCCAGTGGCAGCGCCCGCATGGCGTCACAGCGCCTATTTCGGCACAACCCCCTGCGCACACATTTCGTGGTTTCACAGAGAACTACACCAAAGGCCCCATTGACAGCGCCCGTATGGAGTCACCCCGCCCATGTCGACATACCCCTCACCAGTTTCGTGGCCCCACCCGGAACCTCGCCGAAGGCCCAAGTGGCAGTGACCGTATGGCGTCAACCCGTCCATGTCGGCACGCCCTTCGCACGTTTCGTGATCCTACGAGGAACCCCATTTGTTTGTTTGTTTGTGTTTGTGTTTGTGTTTGTGTTTGTGTTTGTGTTTGTGTTTGTGTGTGTGTCTCTCTTTCTCTCTCTCTCTTTCTCTCTCTTCCTCTCTTTCTCTCTCTCTCTCTCTCTCTCTTTTTTTCTCTCTCTCTCTCTCTCTCGCTCTCTCCCCCCCTCGTTTATCCCGAGTTCACCGTCGGACTGGTAAAAATGGGGTGATTGATTCTATCTTTGTGCTCGCGTCCTCCGCTGCGGCGCGTCGTTCTCTCCCTTCCTTCCCCTTTTTTCTGGGATGCCGTTGTGCGCTTGTGCACTGTGTGCGTGGCTCCTTCCTGGGGTGAACAAGAGAATTGCCTGCTGCATCGCGGTGTTCATGGGGCTCTGAAACGAGAGGGGTCGGGGCGCCAAACGAGCGCAGAACCCGAACAATCTGGGCGCGGACGGGCAAGTGTAACAGCCCCCTGGCGGCGCCCCCTCGGGGTGCCCAAGTGATATGGCGATATGACTGCTGCGTCGCTATGGCCATCTGCTGAACGCGGAGGAGTCGCGGGCGCTAAACCAGCGCCTCGATATAGAGACATCCCCGCACTATGGACGCGAATGGGCAAATATAACACCCTTCGGCGGCCCCCCGCGTCGGGTGCCCACGCGGTATGCCTGCCGCATCGCAGCGGCCATGGGGAGCTGGAAAGAGTGGGGATCGGGGGCGCCACACGGGCGCCTCGCTCGAGACGTCTCCACAACCTGGGCGCGAATGGGCAAGCGGGACACCCCCTGGTGGTTCCCCTTTGGGGTGCGCAAAGTGGTATGCAGGTTGCATCGCGATGGCTCCAAGAAGAGAGTGGATCGGAGGTGCAAGACGGGCGCCTCGCCCAATGCATCCCCACAGTCTGGGCGCCAACGGGCCCGCGAAATGCCCCCTCTCGCGGTTCCCCTTTAGGGTGCTCAAGTGCTGTGCCTGCTACATCAAGATGGTCAAGGGGCTCTGAAAGGAGAGGGGTCGGGGCGACAAACCAACGCTTCGATCGAGGCATCCCCGCAATCCAGGCGCGAACGGGCCTGTGATATGCCCCCTGGCGGCTGTCCCTTGGGGTGCTCGAGTGCGATGCCTGCTACGTCGCGGTGGCCATGGGGTCTTGAAAAGAGAGGAGTCGGAGATATAGCACGAGCGCTTCGATCGAGACATCCCACAAGTTGGGCGCGAACGGGCCCGTTCACCATGTGGTTCTGAATGGAGAGTCGCGCTGGACGTCGAGCAGGTTCCTGGTCGAGTGCATTGCTGGAAGACTCTAGCCGAGATACTGTGGCGCGTGAGATAGGAGGACAGGTTGTCGCTGGGGCTGCAAAATGTCGGGGCTGCCGTGGGGCTGCTCGTGGCCTCTGTGGGGTGCCTTGGGGGCCTCTACGGGTCCTTTTGGGGCAGCCCTGAGCGAACGCAAAGACTGAGCCCAAGGAGTTGTATTTCAGAAGGTCTGGGCCATCTGAGACTCGAGGTGGGCACCTATGGGGCCATTCTGGATGTCGTTTTGGGCCGTCTTTGGCGTCACTTGGGGCTGTTTGTGTACCTCCTGGGATGTCTCGGGGCCCTCTTGCGACGCCGTCGTTGGGGTGTGTGCTGGCTTCTTTGGGGCAACCTGACAGCTCCATTGGGGTGCCTTGAGACCTCTGCGGGCGTTCACTCTTTTGGGGCGCATTGGGGCCCTCGTTGGCTGTCCTGGGCAGCTTTTCGGGCCCTCTTGGATCGCATGCGGGCGAATATTAGGGGATGTGTTCGCCGTGCAGGGCGACATGCAGACCGAAACGCGAGTGCGCCGAAGACATACAAACCAGTTTCAGTGGGTACAGGCGGCCCAGATTAGTAGGTCGACCCTGCCAGATCAAGGGTACCCTCGTGTCTTGTGTCTTGCGACCCATGCCTCCTGCAGTTCTGTGGCACAGTGGCCCCCGGAAGGGTCTTCTGTCCTCTCGCGTGTCCTGTCCAATCAAGGCCGACTGTAATTGATTCTGGCTTCTCTGAGGCATACTGGGACCTCTTTGGGGCGTCTGCAGCCGTCTCAGAGGCGTTTTGGGATCCGGGCCCCGTGGGCGCCCTTCGGCTTCTCTTGGAGCCCACGTGGGCTGTCTTCGGGCTGGCGTGCGCCGTCTTGTCCTGGAGCCATCTTGGATCATGCTGGGGGCCGAGTATGGCCGTGTTGGGGCCGCTTGGGAGGATGACAAGGTCAAGTTCAAATGTGGTCGGCAGATATGACGTGGCCCCCTGGGGGGGGGTAGGATTGCCAGCTTGCGGTGCGATTCACTGAGCTTCACGGATGATTGTGCATCGTATGCGATTAAGAATATCTGGCAGGCGACGTGGAAATAAGGGCGCTTGTCATCCGCTGCTCTACCATATAGGTCTTCTGCGCGCACGGGGGACGGCTTACGTTTCCAGTTTCACTGCGACGCCCCGCTCTGTGCCTGCAGATGTGCGCGCTGTCTCGCTGGTGATTTGTTCTTCGTTGTCCACTGCCGAAACGGTAACCTACAACGTCATATTTTGTGTGCTACATAGGTTTCGCGTGGCTCAACCATCACATGGAGCGGCCCGCGCGTTGCTTCCTACGCACGGTCTACCATACAGTTGCTTTGACTGGCACCCAGCCACGGCGGAGCACTGCGCCGAGTGCCCCCATCCCTTCCTTTCCCCCCCCCCCCCTGCTCCAACCCCCCTGCACCCCAGAAGGCCCCCCCATCCATCTCTTGGAGGCATAGGCTATCTGAGAGGGCTCCCCCGGCGGCCGAGGCGACCTGTCCCACGGGAGCCTCTCCGGGGAAGGAGGCCGCGGGGGTGACGAAGGTGAAGGGCGGGATGCGGAGGGAGGGGGGGCGAGCACTACTGCACGCAGGTGGTTTGAGCACAGCCGCCAGGTGCTTTCCTGACTATGATTGCATCGGGCACGCTCAGGATGAGGATGAATCCTTCCAGGGTTTCCTGGAGCGCTTTCAGAGCGTCCCGGAGCGCTCTGGAACCGCCGCGGGGCGCCCGATGCATGCTCGAGGCCATCTGGCAGCTCAGAGATTCCCGGTTTGTCGCAATCCGGTGTTGCCCTCACCCTGGTCTCGTCCGATAGTACGGTCGCCTCCCGTCCCGCGCCAGGAGGTGCTGGCGTGCAGCTGATGCGTTAACCCCCATTTCCCGATCAACCTCAGAGAAAGTCCAGTTAAGATGTCGGCACACTCTTTCTTTCTTTCTCTCTCTCTCTCTCTCTCTTTCTCTTTCTCTGCTCTCCCTCCTTCACTCCCTGCCCCCACTTCCCTCGTCCTCCTCTTTCCTTCGCCTCCCCTCGTTCCCCTCCTTTCCTCGCCCTCCCCCTCCCGATCGCGTTCCTCCGTTATCCTCCATAGTTTCCCTCCTCCCCTCGCGTGCCCCACCCCCCCCTCCTCCCTCCCGTCCGTTTTTCTCGCCTCGAGGGGCCGCCGACATTTCCGCGGGCCCTCCTCCGAAGGACCCCCCTCCGAGGAACTCCGCCGCCGCGATTCCTGTTACGGCCAGGCTCCCCCGGGGCCCCCGGGGCCCCGGGACCGGCCCTTCGTCCCGAGCCGGCCCGTGTTCACGGCGAGCGCGCCCGCAGGCCGCAGACGGCCCACAATCGTCCGCCGGGCTTCTGCTCTCACGACGCGAGGAGGAGGGGGGGGGGCTTCGCCCACCGCCGCGAGGCGCGGGCAGGGTGGCCGTGGCGACGCTGGAGGCCCCGCCCCCGCCGCGGGGCGGCCGAGCGCTCCCGGGCGCTCGCTACCGCCGGGGCGCTCCGGCAGCAGAGCCGGCGGGCGCCGCGAGTCCGCGCCGAGCAGCGGGCGCCGCGTGCCCGCGAGGGCTGCTCGGAGAGCGTCCAGAAGCCCGGATGCCCAATCGACCAGGTGCTCTTTTGGGGGGCCTCCTTGGGGCCCAACTGGACGGACGACACAGCGTCGACGCACGAGCGGAAGGGGTGGCCCCAGGAAGGTCCCCAGAAGGAGCATCCAACGTGACGCTTCTTCAGCGCGACCTTTGGGTGCGGGCCCACCAGGATCCCCCGATCGCTGCACGCGGTGCGATATGTGGCAGTGGCAGCGGCTTGCCCGCTGAGGTGTGCCCCCTCCGCGCCCCCTGGAGCCGCGCACCAAAGGTCACTCCTGCCTCATTAGAGTTAAGTCGGGCCTGTATCTCTACAGGAGGAAAATTCAAAAAAAGTAGAAACATAGTCTGGGTACGATGTTGTTTAACAATGTTTGACTATTCGGTTGTATTTTTTGACTATTTTTAATTTTTCGTCCAAGCTCCGCCTGTAGGGGGACAGGCCCGACCTAAGCCTGGAGACTCTCCTGCGCGCAGGCGGTCCGAGGATGCGATGCGTGGCAGCCGCGGCGCCCTTCGGGCCGCTCCGGCCTCCATGGGGCCCCTCTTGGGACCCGGCGCCATCGGCAAGGGATCCGGGGCGGACTGCTACACATTGCTCCATTCTAAGTATGCGAGAATTCTTTGATGTTTGGGGGGGCCTGGATCCTTCCATTTCTACTCGTTCTATCCCGGGCCTCTTCCTGGCCACCAGGGGGCCAGGAACAATTAGTATAAAGCACAGTTAGAAATGAGCACGATTAGACCTGAACGAAGTGTACTCTCCAGAGGCCCGGTGCCATCGAGAGTGGATCCGGGGCGGACCACCGCCCCCAAGGAGGCCCCAGCCCCTCGCGTCGCGAAGGGAACCCGACGGAGGGCTGCTGACAGTCCGCGGGCTCCCATGGGCCCTGGGTGGCGGGGCTCCTCCTCGTGGCCCACGGCCCGGTGCAGCCCGCGAGGGGCCTTCGTGATCTGCTGGCCCCTCGGGGAGGGCAGCTCCTCCTGGCCACGGCCAGAGTTCTGCCGTGGCCGATCGGGGAGGGGGGAAGGCGCACCCATGCCAAGCCGCCGTTGGGAGCCCCTCGACGTGCTGCGCCTTCGCTGCTGCACAGGAGCCTGATCTTTCTTCACCACAGGCTGATGGGCTCCTCACCGCGGCGTGTCGTTGGCATTGTTTTGGCCATCCAGCCACGAGGAGGAGGACCCCCCCCCCTGGACGCAGCTTGCGGCCTGACGCAGCGTGCGAGGCTGGCCCGGACAGCCCCGGAGAGGGGTCCAGAGACCGACTCTGAGCGAGAGCGGGTGGCTGGTCCAGACTTCTCGGGGCGCACGCAGCGGGGTTCCGCGCCAGCGGGGCTCGGCTAGAGCGCCGGAGCCCGCAGAGTCCTGCAGAGCTGGAGTTCGGTTGAGCCGTGAATTGGAGCCGCTCGCGGCCCTGGAGGTGGCTCTACATATTGGCTGGGCCGGGCTTGGGGAGCCCACCCACCATTGTGGCGTGTTTTCCAAACTGGCCGAGCTGGGTTTGCGCTGAGCCTGGTTAATCTACGGCGGAGCTTGCAGACGTCGCAGACCAGGTTTGGGTCGGTAATTGCCCGTTTCGGACCCCAGGGCCATCAAAAGCCCACCCACGGCGACAAGTCGGTCGATTGCTCTGGGAGCCCACGTCGTTCACAGTCAAAACGTCGGCGGTGAGCGCTCAAGGAATCGAGAAGTCGATATCACGCCCTCGGTGGAGATCGGTAAAAGTATGACGAATTGTCGCTGGCGGCAGCTCCGCAGAAGCAGCCACAGGCAAGATGGAGCACAACAGAGAGCTCAAGGCAAGGGATTCTAGAGCGTCTGGACTAGGAGGGCGAGAATGAGGAAGAAGATGGTGCGCATGACAAGCTGGATGAGGTGGATGGAGGAGGAGGAGGAGATAGGACGACGAGGATGAGGACAATGTTGATTATGGCGAGGAAGATTAGGAGGAGGAAGGGGAGAAGAAGAACATGTGGAGGATAAAGCGGATGGGGGTGGACGAGGAGGCAGACGCTGTGGGAGGGCAGGACGAGTAGCAGTGGCTGAAGGCGGAGGGGAGAAGGACTTGGAGCAGCGCCTGGCCCCCCTCTCCACGAGAGGTCGACGGCGCAATCCGTCTCTACGAGGAGTGTCGTGTCGGCGACGGGTGCCCCTCCGCGGGGATCGGGCGGGAGCCATGGTGCAACCAGCGTCACCCTTCCCGTCCAGTCCCAGAGATGGCTCTGGGCCTCGTGCTCCTCCTCCTCCTCCTCCTCCTCCTCCTCCTCGCCCTCGCCCTCGCCCTCGCTCCTCCTCCTCCTCATTCTCCTCGTCCTCCTCCTCCGGATCGTCGTCCTCCCCCTTCGTTTCTTCTTTCATCCTGTTTCTGTTCCTGTTGTTGATGCTCTTCCTCCCCTTATTCTCCGTCATGCCATCTCCGTCATCCTTGTCTTCGTCCTGCCCCTCCTCGCACAAGTGCACCTCCTCATGCTGCTGCTCCTGCTCCTGCTCTCGTCCTTCCTCTTGCTCCTCCAACTGTTGAGGCTGGACTGAGCAGGCGAGCCAAAAGTGCGCACGGTGCCCGTGCGCTGCGCTCACATGCCGAGTGTGATGAGTCGTGCACCTTGCTGATTCGTTGCATCTGTGCTGCCAGCCGAGCTCGGTGCTCCGACTCGTCGTGCACAGGCCGAGGTTGCTGTTTCGACGCGTTGTTGAGCGTCTCTTGAGCTGCGTCCTCGCCGCCGCTATAGCTGCCCACAGCTGCCCCCCTGTGCGCCTCTCCTGCCGCCCGTGGCTCCCGGTCCTCCGGCTGTGCGCCATCGACCCGCCCACGAAGGATTGCAAAAAAAACCCGAAGGATTGCAAAAAAAACCGAAGGATTGCAAACAAAAAAAACGAAGGATTGCAAAAAAGCCGAAGGGTTTTTTTTTGCAATCCTTCGTTGCAATCCTTCGTCAGCGCCTGGAGCCCCCCTGAGATTGTCAGAAGACGACTCCAGGTGGAGCCGCGGTCCCAGCAGAAGGAGCCGGGTTTCCAGGGGCCGGGGGGCGAGCGAGTCATTGGAGCACCACCGACGGCTGCCTCGGCCCTCTGCAGGGCCCTGGTGTGCAGCCTGTTTGGCAGCCAGGCGCAGCCGTCGGATGCCTTTGGTGCTCAGCTGCGCGTCCTCTTTTCGAAAGCCTGGGGAGCGCAAAGGTGTCATAGCAAAAAGGTTTGTCGCCAGTTTCGGCCTCTGGGGATCCTCGCCGGGCCTCGGGACCGTCAAAAAATGACTCGGGGTCAAAGAGTTGCCCTGGGGAAAAGGGTCGGGGCTTCCGGGGACCGCGCGCTGAAAACATCAAGACAATCCGTTGAAGGGAGAAAACTTATCGCCAAGGAGCCTTACAACCAGCGCCGAGGAATTGATCTTTGAAGACACTTTACAGCCAGCGCCGAGGAACCACTTCGCATAATCCCCCCCCAGCCAGCCCCCGCCCGAGCAGCCTGGCGTGCGCAAGGGAGTCCCCGCCGCAGCCCGGCGAGCTTCGAGGCCAGGAGCAGACAGCTTTGCGCGTGGCTCTATGTCCATGGCCCTCTCGAGGAAGGGGAACACTGCCCTCCCACCCCTTCTGTGTGCCAGGACCACCCCGCAGGATGATTATGATGGTGATGACGATGGTGATGATGATGACGATGATGATGATGATGCTGATGATGATGCTATTGATGCTGATGATGGTATGCTGATATGATGATGCTGATCATGGTGATGGTGATGATGATGATGATGATGATGATGCTGGTGATGGTGATGGTGATGGTGGTGATGGTGATGGTGATGGTGATGATGTGACGATGATGATGATGATGATGATGATGATGATGATGATGATGATGATGATGATGATGATGATGATGATGATGATGATGATGATGATGATCATGGTGATGATGATGATGATGAGGAGGAGGAGGAGGGACGAGGAGGAGGAGGAGGAGGAGCGGGAGCAGGAAGGGCGGTAGGGAGAGTTCCGCTTCGTGTTGATCTCCCTGTTGCGCGCTTTGCTGGGCGTGCCGATGCCCGGCCCTGGCCTCACAGGGGGGCACGGCCGCTGCAGCGACAGCGCACCGCACACGCCTGCCCCCCCCCCGAGGTATGCGCAGGTGTGCTGCGTCTCTGCCGCCGAAGCGCCGCTGCGCTACGTGGACCTGCAGGCGCCCAGTGCGGGCCCGTGGCCGCGCCCCTGTCCCCCTGGGGGGGTGGCGGCCCGAGGCCCCGCAGCGGAGGCGTGTGGTCCGCGAGGCTGGCGCTTTGTTTTTTTCCACCGAGCGTCAGGGTTGGGGATACAGCGAGGATGTTGTCGTCCTCCTCCTCCTCCTCCTCCTCCTCCTCCTCCTCCTCCTCCTCCTCCTCCTCTTCCTCCTCCTGCTCCTCCTCCTCCTCGACTTCCTCCGTCCTTTTCGCTTACTCCATCCATTCGACCTGACAGGCCACTCCTGTCCTCTTCTCTCTCTCTCTCTCTTTCTCTCTCTCTCTCCCTCTCTCTCTCACCATCTCGAGGTCATTATCCTTCTCCTCCTGCACGTTCTCCTCCCTCCTGGCGTTCAGCGTTCGCAGATGCGCAGGATCCAAGGACATGTCCGTGAGTTTCCCCAGGGTTGTGAGCTGCGGCCCAGTAGGATCCGAGCTTGCGTTGGGTCCAAGAGGGCCGCCATGCCGAACCCACGGTCTGCTGGTGTGTTTCGGTCACTCTGGGCAGATTCCTCGTGGCTCCGAGATGGGCACCTGATCCCAAGAGCCGGACGTGTAGAGGCCCGCGCGAGACGTGTGGGCACATGCTTCTTGAGAGTGCATCGCTGCAGCAAGGCCTTCTGGAGCACGAGGGGTGCCCATCTCCGAAGCTCGGGTCAAACTTTGGGGCCGCTTTGGGGGCCCACGGGCGCAGCGGGCAGGCCGCTCCTCTCGGTTTTGAGCTTTCGGTTGGTGTCACCGTGCTCCCTGCCCAGGCCCCTGCCCCGCCCAGCGATCCTCCAATCCTTTGGTGTGGAGACTGGGCGAGCCCAGTACAGGGCCGCAGCAGCACTGTGCTCGCCCATGGCCCTGCCAAGTGAAGCAGGCAGCCAGATATGCGAAGCTGCAGCGGGGCCGTGATCCGGGTGGGCAGACCAGGGCGTGCCGCTCCGTGCTTCTTACGGGCCTGCCAGGAGCCGGCCAGGTGGTTGGCGAGGAGGAGCGTCTGGCAGTGCTGCGCGCGCTGGAAGGACGCCCACCGTCTCTCTTGGTCTGATTGGGTTGCTGTCGTTGGCCGAAGAGGGCCGGCGATGGAGCCCCGAAGAAGAGGCCTCTCAGGGGAAGCAGGCCGCCATCGGAGCGACGCAGAAAGGCGGGGTCTGCTGCGCCGACACCGGCGCGCAAGCTGCCCGCGTAAGGCCGCGCGTCAGCGCCCCCGTCTCCAATGCAACGCGCTGCGCTGGCGGCCCGCGTAAGCTGCGGCGTAAGGTCGCTACGTCATCTCGCGTAAGTCTCGTTTTTGATCGTCGCTCGTTTGGCGTCAGATCCGTGCCCTGGTGGGTGGGCGGGAGGTGGACCCGCCCACCGTCCAGTGGCGTCCCGCTCGCGCGTCGTTAGAGCAGGCTGCGGTTCGAGGGCCGCTCGAGGGGCCTCCTCTCTTGTCTGCTCTCGGGGATACCTGGGCGGATTTCCTCGTCAGGCTTGGAGCGTCTGAGGAGTGTGGAGGCCAAGCATTGCGAATTGGCAATGGCTCGCCCTCAAAGAAACCTAGGAACGTAGGAAGTACCTGGCTTGGGCGGGACGGAGAGCGGTGGCCGTCGGCCCGTGTAGGAATGAGTCGTCCGAGGTCGTCCGTCGTTCGCCTGCGGCCAGGCCATCGCCCCCTCCGGGGGTGGCTCGTCTCGATCGAGTAGGCTGACAGGCTGACACCCAGGGTCATGATATTTGGTATTGCCAGAGTCGGACTGGGTGGAGGTGTAAAGGTTGCGGTGTCGCGACCAGGACGCCGAGCGGCCTCCGCCACCTCGGGGCTATCGTGGCCTCGGGCCACTCTGCTTCGGGTGCGGGCCCGCCGCCAAAAACAGCCAACGCCCTGTCGCGCACTACACCCTAGGCGATGCTTAAGAAAACTTAAGTTTTCGGCCAGAGTCTCGATTATTCTTAATGTTTCAATGCAAATCCTAAGATTTCGATAGGAATTCTGGGTTTTATTCAAATTCTGAGACTCTGAATTTCTTAACCCATGATTTCTTAAGCAATTTGCAGGGTGTACAGTCGCCGTCCAGAAGGCGCGTTCCTCCTCCCTCCCTCCTCGGAGGCGGAGGGCGGCCTCCTACCCCCTCTCTCGCAGCGCCATCGGGCGTCACCCAGAGCGCCCCCGCACCCGCCGCGCGCCCCCCGGGGGCGCGACGGCGACGCGGCGTCGGACCCGTTGCGGACGGGGAGGGGGAGTGGAGGGCCACCCGCATTTGCAACTGAGGTCTCGGAAGGGGGAGGAAGGGGTGGTGGGTGGAGCGGTGGGGCCACTTAACCGGAGGTGCAGTACATACCGAAGACGTAGTACCTTGCCAGCAGCATAGTTCACAGAGTACCCTGTCAGTAGTGTACACGATGTCTATGACGATGATGCTGATGATGATGATGATGATGATGATGATGATGATGATGATGATGATGATGATGATGATGATGATGATGATGATGATGATGATGCCTACAGCTTCTCGCTACTTCCCTCGTGCTCCACGTCGCTCTCTCGGTGTCCTCGTCGTCGCAGTCGTCTTTCCCCCGTCGACGCCGGATTTCTGCGGCGAGCACGGGTAGGGGTCGCGGACCCACAGGTATCCGGTTCTGGTGCGCCTCGCAGTGGTTGCGGGTGGACCAGAGCGCTGCGATGGCTCCTGAGGGTCCCAGCGCGCGGACCACCGCAGCGCGCGGACCACCGCGTCCCCGCCCGCGCAGTGGCGGCCAGCGCTCACGTCTATGGGCGCCATCGTGTCGCGGGGCTTGTTGTGCGCGGGGTTCGTGAGTTTGGATATGGCTCTGATGGCGAAGGCCCTTGTGATTGCTGGCCCTTCGGCGATCGTGGCCCTCAGGAAGTCCAGCCCCTGGAGCGCGGCGTACATGATGAAGATCGGCTCGTCCTGCTCGTCGCTCTCCTCATCCTCCCCTCGTGGCCCTCGTAGCTCAGGCGGTGGCTCTCGGAGTCCTGCACGCGGTCCTCGTAGCTCGGCTTCTGGCCCCCGCAGTCCGGCTGCTGGTCCTCGCAGCTGTGTCGGGGGCTCTCGAGGTCCCGCTCGTGGACCTTGTAGTTCAGCTGGTGGTGATGGTAGCTCTGCTTGAGGCCCTTGCTGCTCGGCTCGTGTCCCCCGTAACTCGGCTTGCGGCCTTTGTAGCCTTGCTGGTGGCCCTCGTAGTCCAGCTGGTGGTCCTCGTAGCCTGGCGTGTGGTCCTCGTAGCTCGGTTTGCCGACTTCGAAGCTCAACTTGTGGCCCTCGCAGCCCTGCAGATGGCTCTAGAAGCTCAGCTGGTGGCGCTGGTAGCCCCGCATGTGGCCCCCGAAGCGTTGCTTGTGGCCTACGTTGTTCAGCACGTGGATCTCGTAGCTGAGCCGGTGGCCCTCATAGCTCGGCAGTTGGCCCCGGTACCTCACCTTCTGGCTGTCGTAGATCTGCGCGCGGCGATCGTAGCTCAGCGTGTGGTCTTCCAAGCTCAGCTGGTGGCTGTAGGAGTCTTGACCGCGGCCCTCGTAGCTCGGCTTGTTGCCCCTGTGGTTCAGCTGGTGGCTCTCGTAGCTGTGTCGGGGACTCTTGAGGCTCTGGTCGTGGACCTTGTAGTTCAGCTGGTGGCGCTGGTAGCGCTGCTGGAGGCCCTCGTTGCTCTGCACGTGTTCTACGTAGCTCAGCTTGTGGTCTCCGTAGCTCCGCGGTTGGCCCTCGTAGTCAACTTGGTGGCCCTCGTATCCCAGCTTGCGGACCTCGAACCTCAGCTGGCCCTCAGCTGTGATTCCTATGTTTTAACATATGTTCTGTGGTGTTCACCCCTGTCATTGTATGACGTGTCATAATGTGACATGCTCTGCTCTGGGGCGCCACGTTATGGCATGATCAGTAGGTTTTGCCAGGCTAGGTTATATGGTATAAGTTTATGTGATGGTGTTCAGGTATGCCCAGTTCGTTGTAGTATCCGACATAAAATGATCGCCAACCCGGTTATCTCTAAATTGTCGACGGAGGGGAAGCAGCAGTACAACAATTATGCTATGATGTTTTGCTCGTCATGGAGGATTGTATTCGTTCGACTTGGCTGACTTGGAGATCTTTTTTGTACGTTGTTATGTCTGTTCTGTTCTCGACGGGCCGGCGCGACGCCGTGACGCCTGTCCTGAGAGATACTTTGTCCTATCGTTCGTTGCTGCGCCTGTTTGCTCCTGTGGCCAGCCTGACCTCGGCGCGCACGTCGCATATGATTATATTGAAGTCAATCGTAGATTATGGTGTGATGAAATGCTTAGTTATGTCATGCAATGCTGCGGTTCCGTGTTAGATTATGCGATGACATTGTATGAAATGTTATGTTCCGTTATGTTACCCTCTGTTTTGGTGTGCCTTGCCCTTTTGTTGTTGATGTGTGTTGTTCTGTTATACTCGGTATGTTCCACGATGTCATTGCATGCGTGTTTTATGATGTGTCCTGATATGCCCTGCTCTGACATTATATGGCATGTTATGGTTTACCATCGTATGATGTCATGATGCAGTGGGTTATGCTATGGTATAAGGTGTTTGTTCCGCGCTCTGTCATGACATGATGTGTTATGCTATGACATGCTATGTGCGTTGATGCGTTGTTACGGTGCGGTATGTGTTGTCAGGGTATATTGTGTTATGGCATGCCATGTTATGTTATGCGCTGCTAGATTATAGTGTGAATGTATAGTGGCGTTATGCTCTGTTCTGTATGCCCAGCTCGGTCATAGCCAATTGTGTTGTGCTATGGGGTTGTCTGGTATGGTGCAGCATCGTATGTCGCGCCCGGTCATATCACGACATGTCATAGGTTCTGCGGTGCTATATGTCATGTTCAGTGTGTTGCGATTATGTCAAATTTGTATGGTGCCCCCAGTCAGGGTATGTTATTATATGATCACCTGTTCTTGCATCGTACGATATGTAGTGGTTTGCTTGGCTATGCTGTGTATAATCCGATATTGCATGGCATGCGTTGTTCTGAGAAGTTGTGCTATGATATGCTATTTCGCGTTATGTGAGGCAGGGGGCATGTTCTGTTTCGATATGTTCAGTTCTGAGATGGTTTCTTATGGTCTGCTTGCTCTGTCATGTTATGTAATGGTATGTGCGACGTTGCTGTGCTATGGCATGCGCGTCTGTCATGTTTCGAATTGGTATGTCATGCTATGTGATGTTACGCTCACATATGTTATGTGTTAGGTGGTGTGGTCTGTTGCTCTGTTCTGTCATAGTTCATAGTGTTGTGCTATGCTAGTTTCTGTTTTTTACACGACCGCTCTATAATGTTTCGACTTGTCGGCACGAGGTGGGACATTCGGAGACACCCGGGGGACCTGAGGATCTGGCGGCCGCGGTATACAGAATGGCGCGAGGCGGGACACTTGGGGACACTCGGGGGACCTGGGGATCTGGCGGCCGCAGTGCGCACGGTGGGCGAGTCGGCGCGACGCGAGATTTTCGGAGACACTCGGGAGAGCTGAGGATTTGGCGGCCGCGGTATGCAGAGTGGCGCAAAGCGGGACACTCGGGGGCACTCGGGAGACCTAGAGAGCTGGGGGCCGCGGTATGCAGAGTGCCGCGAGGCGGGACACCCGGGGACACTCCGGGGGACCTGTGGATCTGGCGGCCGCGGTATGCAGTGTGGACGGATCGGGAGGTTTGTTATTAAAATCTAACGACCTCAACCTGTCGGGTGGGAACTGGGCGGGAACTTTCGCGTTTTTCTTCTGGCTGGTTCATGGGGGGCGTCGCGCGCGGTCGAAATACACAGCTCGTGTCTCCAATTGTGCATGTGTTGCGCGCCGCTCGCTGGAGTGGTCACTGGGCGGGGGTCCCCGCGGGTCTCCCGGCTGGTCCAGGACTTGGCATCGCTCGGATGTGTGCATTTTTCTCTCGGCGAGGACCATCGAGGAGCATCCTTGATCGTTTGGCGAAAAAATCACGCACGAAACCGAAAAAAACACAGGGAATGGACGTCCGAGCGATGGCCAGAAGAAGGGGCCGTGGTCTGGGCATGCAAAGGCGCGGGGGGGTGGGGATGGTGGGCTGTGGGGAGGGAGGGGTTCGATAGGAGGGGTGGCCAAAGGGCCAAGGATGAACGGGACTGGACGAGAGCGGAGGAATTGAACCCAGGAGGAGCTGCATCATCGGTGTCAGCATCACGAGGACGAGGGAGGCGGGGGGGCGGGCAGAAATTGGGGACATGATGTGCACTAGGGCGGAGAGGATGGGAGGAGGGCAGGCATGTGGACGATGGGGGAACTAATCCGGCGGAAGAGGACGACGAGGAACGACATGAATTGGCACGTGGGGGGGTGACAATGTGGATGAGGGGCATGATGAGGACCAGGGCAGTCGGGGGGGGCATGAGGAGGGTGGGGCCAAAGCGAAGGTATAGTTGGAAGGGGCGGGGGATGGGGCATGAGTTTGCGGCGGGCGCCAGCTAACGATTAGCTGAACAGTGTCCTGCGTGTCTGTGCACCCCCCCAGAACACAGTGACTGGTTGCAGAATTTCATGATTTGGGTAATCGTGCGCTTCGTGCTTCCAGGCCAAATGCTCGAGTCCGCGACGCCCCTTGGCGTCGCAATGATGCCGCCCCGATTTGCCAGACCGCACATGGACAGATACGCATAATATGTGTTGCAACGTTTGTTGCATGACCCTTCCTGTAGCAACATACCCACGTTGGATTCCAACTTGGGGCCTTTTTGGGGCGCTCCGGGGCCGTTTTGGAGGCCATCTTGGGCGTCTTGGAGGCCATCTTGGGCGTGTAGGAGGCCTCTTGGGCCGTCCTGGGGCCCTCTCGGGGCAGTCTTAGAGGCCACTTGGGCCGTCATGGGGCCCTTTCGGGGGCCTCTTGGGCGATCTTGGGGGCCTTTCGGGCCGTCTTGGGCCGCCGGAAAGCCGAACAGGCGCAAATGCTAAAATCCTTCAAAAACCTCAGGACAATCAACGATTTGGGCCCTTTCGGGCCTTCCTGGAGGACGTCTTGGAGGGCTTTTGGGCCGTCTTGGAGGCCTCTTGCGGGCCTGTTGGGCTATGTGAGGCCGTCTTGGGTACAGTTTGGGCCGTTTGGGAGGCATCTTGGGGCCATCTTAGCAGTTTGGGAGGCCATCTTGGGCCGTCTTGGAGACGTTTGGGAAACCATCCTGGGCCATTTTGGCCGTCTTGGACGCCATCTTGGGCCAACTGGAGGGAACAGAGGCACGACGGACGCGTTTTGGGATTTTCCGTGTGGCCGGCGGGACGTGCCGAAACCCCAAGGGAGTTCTGGTGGAAAAAGAACCAAAACCAAAACCGAGAGGGTCCAGCACGCCAGGTACCCCTGCGATGAATCGACAGGGGGCGGCGGATCCGAATGGCCGTCGGCCCATCCCGCCACCGTGCTAGAGTTGTGGGTATGAGGCTTTTTGTCTATGCGTTGGGTTGTCGTGGGGGGGCCCTACAGGGCATCTTGGAGGCGGTTTGGGCGCACCTAGGAAGTAGTTCACGAGGGGTCGTGGCCTCGGGGACGCATTTGTTCGCAGTTCACGAGGGATCGTGGTTTCGTGGGCGCGAATATTGTGTTATGTACGATGGTTTATCCTTTCGACGACGAACATATAGCCTAATTTGCGAGACGGGGGCGCGAATATCAAATAATTTACACAAGCGTGTGGTTTCGGGGACGCACAAAATGTGTAAGTTACAAGCATAATGGCCTCGGGGACGCGAGTATGGTGTAATGCATAAGTGTTTGTGGCCCCGGGGGCGCGAGTAGTGGGTAATTTAGCAGGGATGATGGCCTCGGTGGCGCGAGTATGAAATGATGTACGAAGGTTCGTGGCCTCGGGGAAGTGAATATTGGGTAATATACACATTTTGGTTTCGGAGACGCGAAATTAGAGAATTCACAGAAAAGGTTTATGGCTTCGAAAACACGAGCACCGAGTATTTTACAAAGGTTTATGGCCTCGGGGCACGATTCTCCTATATATTTTTACCTGTCCCACGCCCCCCCAGGAATTCTGGGAATCCCGGGGGGAGACGAGCAGCAAGCTTAATCCTCGTAGCCTGATGGCCTCGCAAGGGGGGCCGGCGGATACCGCTGTGTCATATTATGAATTGTCGTCGCGAGGCAGGACGCTCGGGGGACATGGAGATTTGGCGGCCGCGGTATGCAGAGTGGCGCGAGGCGGGACACTCGGGGACACTCGGGGGACCTTGGGATCTGGCAGCCGCGGTGTGCAGAGTGGGACACAGTCGACGCTAGACGGGACTTTCGGGGGCACTCCGGAGACCTGGGGACCTGGCGGCCGCGGTGTGCAGAGTGGTGCAGACCAGGACGCTCGGAGACACTCGGGAGACCTGGGGATTTGGCGGCCGCAGTATGCAGAGTGGGCGAGTCGACGCAACGCTTGACTTTCGGGGGCACTCGGGAGACCTGGGGACCTGGCGGCCGCGGTACGCAGGGTGGACTTGTCGGAAGGTCTGCTCTTAAAACCTGGCGACCTCAACCTGTCGGGCGGGGAACAAAGATCGGAGCGCAGCGCTCGAAATTACGTATCCAGTGCGTGCACGATAGGTAAGAGAAGGACGATTCACACAGGACAGGAACAGAATCCGGCTGGAGCACAGAGGAGCGCACAACGGCAAGGATGCCCCAGTGGTCGTTCTCCTCCTCCTCCTCCTCCTCCTCCTCCTCCTCCTCCTCCTCCTCCTCCTCTTCCTCCTCTCCCTGCACCGTTCTCTCTCCTTCTTTCCTTCCGTCCTTCCTTCCTCCCTCTCCTCCTTGCTTCTATTCCTCCTGCTCTCCTCTCCCCCCCCTGCGAGGCGGAGGGTGGCCTCCTGGTGTCCGTGGCCGTGGGCGCGGGCGGCGCCGAGGGCTTCGAGGCCTCCGGGGAGGCACGTCGTCGGCGGCGGAGGGAGGTGGTGAGACACCCGGTGGTGACCCCGATTTTACAAAGAAATATTTCTGGGTCACCACTGGGTTTGGGTACACGCGGTCGCCCAGGGGTTTTGCGTTTCCTGGGCCAGCCAGCGCTCGAAAACCATTACCCAAATGTCCAAAACTCACCACTGGGTGTTCTCACCACCACGTTTGGGGACCAAAGGGTTCAAGAGTCGAGGATCGAGATTCGAGGCTCGAGGCTTGAGGGTCAAAAGGCTCGAGGCTTGAGGATCAAGGGTCGAGAGCTTGAGGGTCCAGAGGTCGAGGGTCGGGGGAGGGTCGAGGATCTGGGGTCGAAGATCGATGATCGAGGGCCGGGGCTCGAGTTCCAATCATCGAGGATCGAGCATCAAGGATCGGGGTTCGGGGATCGAGGTTCGAGGGTGTTCTGGAATTTTTTGGGGGCGTGTCAGCATTGGCAGGGGATCTTCCTCCAGAGAGGCATCCTGTGCTTTCTATAAACAGCCTTGGACCGACCGTCGTCTTCGTCGTCGCCCTCGGCGTTGTCGTCGTCATCCTCGTTTACCGTTCTTGCGGGGTGTGATGAGGGCATGGGCCTCGAGCGAGGGCAGGGCGGTCGAGGCTATTGGGCGCTGTGCTGTTGCCGCCGGCTGTTGGCCCTCCAGGTCATGACGTGGTGTCCGCCTGAGAGTTCTTTGGTCTGGGCCAAGGATCGATGATGAGGACCAAGAGCAAGAGGGAGATGTTTGATTTTGGAGGGTGCGAGGTAGACTATTGATGATCGACTGCGGGGTCTGGGCGCTGTGGGCGTGAAGGGTGGAGGGTAATTGACTGCTGAGGATATTGCGGAAAAGGACGGTGCAGGGTGGAGATAGAGGAGTGAATTTAGAGGGGTGAAGGGATATGGGATCAGGCTGAATGAAAGATATGAAGGAGGAGTTCAAGAGAGTCTTAAGAGAGAGGAGTTAGGAACGAGGGGTCATGAATGCGGACGGGAGCGGGCCATGGATGAATCAGGAAAGAGAGTATGTGGAATGGAGGAAGCTTAGATGATAATGTGGAGGACGAGGGTATCAAAGATGAGGAAGGAGTGGGAACGAGGAGCATGAGGGAGATGGGAATGATCGTGCATCTACTGGTGACGATGGATCATGGTGTTTATGATGATGAGTGTTCTGAGGGTATGATGGATGGTGAGGGCGTGTGAGGAAAGGAGAGTGATGAGCAGGAGGAGAAGAGGGATGATGTGGACGAGGCGGATGAGGAGTATGGGCATCGACGAAGAGGACTTGAGCATGAGTTGGAGGAAGGGAACGGGGAGTCGGAGACGGAGGCGGGGAATGACGAGGGTGGTGGAGGCCACAGATTGGAGAAGGAGGGGGCATGGGAGGGGAGGGGGAGGAGCAGTTAGGCAGGGGAGGGGAGGAGGAGGAGAGCCAGGGAGCACGACGCGGTACCGCTCGGGGGAGGTGCACTGCTGGGGCCTCAGCCTCTCCGGACTGGCGCGGCCGCCCAGAAGGCGCGGCTTCTCGCAGGCGGCTCGCCCGGTTCGCGGGGGGAGGGCTGATGCCGGACCCCCGATTGGACAAACCAGGACATTGGCAAACCAGGACAAACAAGGGTCTTGACAAAGCAGGACATTAGCAAACCAGGACATTGACAAGGGTCTTGACAAACCAGGAAATTGGCGCGGCGGGAGGACTGCAGCCGTGGGTTGAAACGTTGTACTCTCTCTGTTCTCTCCAGGTGGGGATGTTCAGAGTCTCGGGTAGCAGTGTCCTGGTTTAGGGTGCCCTGGGGATGGGACGGGGGGCGGGTGGGTGGGTCTGGGTGTGGGCACTGGGCGACGGGGGGGGGCGGAAAGGAAAGACGGGGCGAGGAGAGGGGAGGACGAAGGAGGATAAGGATGAGGAGGAGGAGGAGGACGAGAGTAAGCCCAGGATGCACCAACGAGTCTGCAAGACACCCTCCCGTTACAGATTCCCTCAACGCGCCCTACAGACATTCTTTTCAGTACGGGACGCGCCCCTTTGAAAGGCGATCGCTCCATGCCTGCCAGTCAGTCGAGAGCCCCGTTTCGAAACCGAGCTGCCCTGTATCCTGCTATGTCTGTATGCGTATCTAAGGGCATTCGGCCCATACCGCCACCGTGCCTGGGTTGTGGGTCAGACTTCAGAGGGATGTGTCTTGGGGTATCTTCGGAGCGCTCTCGGGGGCCTCTTGGGGGCAGTTTTGGTGTATCTTGGGAGCCTCTTGGGGCTTGGGAGCCTCTTGGGGCCTCCTGGGGGCCTGTTGTTGGCCTCTTTGGGGTCTCTTTGGGCCTCCTGGGTGCCTCTCGGGGCCGAGGGCTTGAAATGTCAGTTCGGGTTCCTCATCTGGGCTCCCTCTTGGAGCCGTCTTGGGGCCCTCTTGGGCCGTCTTGAGCGCCTATTGGGGTCTTGGGGCCCTCTGGGCCCGTCTTGGGGCCTTCCTGGGCCCGAGACAGTCACGCGATTATTCTTCCTAGACGGAGCTCAGAAGGCACGCGCCAAGACAAAGATGATTTGAGACTTTGGAGCCTGGGCCGTTCAGAGACCCTTCAGGACTGAGGACTGAGGGGATTTGTTTTTTTTAAGACCTGAGGAAACGCTCACTGCGTGCCTGGGGGCACGGTTGTGGATACCATATTCATATACATGCATACGCGCATCTGCACATGCAGTATGTCCGTCTTGGGCGCGGACAATGTATGAACATACAGTCCAAGGGCAATGTCAACGGTATCCTTCGTTTGAAATGCAACAACCTTCCATTGGTGCACCCGTTGCACAAGTATACGTCCGGGCCCATGCAGTTTGTCGACGTCAATGAAGAGCCCCACTGGGTCAATAAACCGCCCTCATCCATCGCAACTGCTGCATAAGTTATATGCCTGGTGGCAGTCCATTTCAAGGAAATCTGAGTCGAGAGCCACACTTTGAATATAAGTGCCCTTCCCTCCATTCATGCAGGACGCTTTTAAGACGAGTGCGCGCGGCGTTGGTGTTGGAGCCACAGGTTGAAAGCTATCCGCCCTCCATCCTTTTAGCGGCTGGTGACTTCTAAGACAAATGCTCGCGGCGCTTCGACGAAAACAATATGCGAAAGACGACCTGCCACCCATACTTGCAATTGCCCGCCATCCATACTGGCAATTGTGGGAAGCATTTAGGGCGAATGTGCGCAGAGATAAGGCCTTCCCCATATTTTGAGAACCGACCGGACTTCGTCGGTGTAGCTGTTCGAGAGCTTGAGCTCCGGGGTCAAGAGCGGCGGCACCTCTGGCGCCGTGACGAGGAGGTGATACTTTTAGTATCAAAGGGTAGGTGCGGACACAACGGAGGGAGGAGGAAGAGAGAGAGAAGGGAGGAGGAGGAAGAAAAGGAGGAGGAAGGATGATAAGGGACGAATTGGGTTAAGTGGAAGGTGGGCAGGGATAGGGGGTAGAAGTTGGGAGGGATGAGGAGTAGGAGTGGCAAGGGAGGAGTAGGAAAGAGGACGGTGGGTGGCGATGGGAGGGGAGAAGGAGGGTGGAAGCAAAATGATGACGGAGGGGAGGGCAGGAGAGGACGCGAAAAATGAGGGGAGGAATGGGGTCGTTGATCAGGAAGAGGAGGATGGAGAAGAGGATGATGATGAGCGGGAGTGGAGGCAGGACGATGAGGGACAGGATGGAGAGGAGGCGGACCAGGACAGAAGGAGATAGTAGACAAGCTGTCTGGCCATCCTCCTCGGTCTCCTTCCCCCCCCCACCCGCCCCAAAAAGCACAGATACACACACGCACACACACAGACACACACGCATCCACGCACACTCACACACAGACACACACACACACACACGTACACTGTTTTTTCGGTCGCGCCTTCGTGGGTGGCGACGAGGTGGAGTAAGTCGAAAACAGTATGTGTGGGCTGCTGGCCCCTGCTTGCCTTCGAGATGGCTGGGCGCCGTCTTCGCGCGCCCCAGTACAACCCGATGCACGCATCGAGCGGAGAGCGACTCACTTCCATAGCGCAGGCCTGCAAGCCCTATGACTTCGTTTACCTGAATGGCACCACGGCTAAGGGTTTCGGCCGCGAGAAGGCTTGGGAGGCTCGTTGACGCAAGGCTGGAGATCACAAATGGTGTTTGGAGAGCGGATGGGCACGCGGGCCCTGCACCGACAAGAGTACGGGCTGCAGCATCATCGTGGGCGCTAAGATCAGGACGAGTTCGATCACCTACACGTGGACACCGCCCGCCGCGTTGGCGGGGAGAGGACTCGCTCTTCGGGCTCGCTGTTCCACCTACGACGTGGGCACTTGCTCGGTCTACTTCCCCCCGCCGCCCGCGAAGGGCAGCGCCGACGTGTATCGCGGCACCTGTAAGGCTCTTGCTGGGTGGGTACGATCGCTGCCCTACCTCTGTACCAAGCGAGTGCTGCCCAGTTTCTCTACGTTGACCTCAACTCAGGGTTCGGCTACCAGCAGCTAGACGGCGACACGACGTGGCGTTCCGTGCAGACCGATGCCTTCGGCCAGGCGGCCCAGGACAAGCAGCGGTACGCCGCGGACTGCATTCTTCCCTTGATGGAGGAGTTCGGCCTGGTCGCAGTCAGCACTTATATCGGCCATGGTCCTACTTTTTTCCGTTGCAAGAGTTCTTCCCAGATCGACTTCGTTTTTCTGCCCAAGACTCTGCTCGGCGATGTCTTCTCGGCGGGACCGCTGCGAATGCTCGTCGGAGAGCTTCAGGTGATCAGCACCCGCCAGGCCCGCGATCACGTACCTGTACACGTCTGCTTTCGCTACAGCATAGAGCACACCACGGACTCCCGCATGCATTGCGACATGACGGAGCACGGCAGGTTGGATTATGTTCCCCGCCGCAAGCGCTCTGCGCCCTGATCAGTGGAACCGTGGGTCGTTGATGCAGGCTCTGTGTAGTGTTGTGGGGCGGACAGATTTTCTGATTGAGCTGGAACTGTATCTGCGTACACAGTGTGATGAGCAGACGCCCAACGCAGAGCGGGGATTCCCTATGGACGCTATGATGGCGATTGGCAGTAAGTATTTTGGTCGAGCTCCCGAGTACCGACCTGGATACCGCGCGCTGGCTGTCACGATCCAGCCGCTGCTCGACCAACAGCTGGAGCTTCGACGCCGGCTTGGAGCTTTTGATTCTCAATGCGATTATGGTGGCACCGTGCTGCTGGCCTTGTAAAAGATCCAGTGGCTGCTGAAATGCTACACAAAAAGGTTACGTTCTGCTCGTCACCAGCCCTGGAAGCAGCGGAGACACGACACAGTGGATGAGCTGAACGAGGCACGACGACAGGGACGACGTGCCGAGGTTGCCCGACTCTCTCGACTTCGGGCTGGCACAGGAGTGGGCCCCCGCAAGAGGGATTACCGACGCGCCCCAGTTGCACTACCTTCGGGAGGGGAGCTTGCTGAGCGCTGGGCTTTACCAGCGGGCCGTGGCGGCATGGCCGCGGCCAACGTCGACTGTATTAAGGACGCCGACGATTACATCTGCAACAGCGGCACGGGCCAGGAGACGCATCAGTTTCTGGCGCCATGGACCGGGGAGGGGCTGGTCTGGGCTAAGCATCGCATTCAGAGATCCGCGCTTGGTTGCGACGAGCACCTAAGACACGAGCTTGCCCGCCCGGGTCAGCTCCGCTGGAGCTCTGGCGGATGGTTCTACACCCCTACCGTTGAGTCTCACGTCGCAACAATGACGTTGGCTGCGAGACCCCTCAGATCGACCAGGGGTGCACTCGCAGATTCCTTGTCATCATCATGCGTCGGCTTCGGAGATCTGGACAGGTACCGCTCGTGTGGCGTCTCAGTCAGAGCGTCGCGCTCACGTGGAAGCGAGTAATCCACCTCCTCGGCCCGTTCGGCAGGGGGTTTATGGCAACGGGCGCGGACCCCGCTGAACTACGAAGCGAGCCGCTCTTCGCCCATGGCTGCATTCCTCGCCGACGGCGGGGGGCGGCTACTATTGAACAGCAGCTTTGCACGTGGAAGCGGCGCATCCTCGGCATCAGCCATATTACGGATTTCAAAGATATGACTAACGCGTTCGTCCCCACCGACTGGCGCAGCTGGACAGACGCGAACGAGAGTACCACGAAGGAGGGCCATGCGGTGTTCGAAAGGCAACGGTTTCGCTTTGCTGCAGTGGCGTTCGGAGACATTCGCGCGAGGCCCAGCGTCGGCGCGCTCATCGGCGACCCCGGGGCTGCGAAGGCTTCCGCGAGGGACATCAGCGCGGCGTTCGCGAAGGCGCAGGAGCACTTTGAGGAGTTCGGGCCCGAGTCCGCGACGCGGTGCCAGATCAGCCTGCACCGCCATGGCGAGGGGTCCGCGCTGGACATTGCGTTCCACTCGTGCGTCGACGACGCTATTCGTAAGAAAGTCTTGGCAGCACCTACAGCATATGAGTTCTCAAGATGGTCTCGGGCTCACGACCTGCTGCTGTCGGCGGAGCTTCGCCGCCATGGCTGCGCCATCAACCCCGGCAAGAACGTCGGCCTCCTCTCGTTCCTGGGCGCGAGGTTGCGCGCTCGCCGCAGAGAGGCGATTGAAAAACGGTTTGTCTCGTTGGGGGCCCTGCTGACTCCACTCGCCATCTTGGGGGCAGGTCGTGGGAGATTGTCCTTTTCGGGCCGAGCTGTTCTCCGGACTGTCTGCGATCCTGTCGGGTTTCTACACTGTGGCTAAGTGCTGGTACTCCCAGCGCGTCGCCTACACCGAGCGGCGCGCCGTCTTCCTCGCGCGCGCCGTGGAGCCTGCTTGCTCGGCTTGCGAGGCGTTCCTGCCGACGCCGAGTGAGGCGTGCCAGCTCGCGTCCAGGGCGGTGTTCTTGGGGCGCAATGCAACGGGGGGGGCTGCGACGCCTTGGGGGGGTGGCCACGCCGGCTCCGTCACTTCAGAGGCCGTTCTGAGGTGCTGGAAGGCCCCGCCGCTGCAGGTCGAGTTTCGGGCCACGCGCTTGCGGTGGTGCCAGCGGTGGGCGGTCGACCCCCTCAGGCACATATGCGCGTGGGCCCCCCTCTTCGGCGACATGAAGTCGAACAACTACGGTGGCTCAGCGCTCTGACCTCCGAGGGCTACCTCGCGTCGACGGCGAACCCCTGGGCCATCCAGCTTGTTCGGGATCTCGAGGCGCTTCGAAGGGTCTGAGCGGGCGTCGAGGAGGATATGAGGTCTTAGACGGGCGCCCCACCGGAGTTCCTCGAGGAGGGGCACTTGCGGGACTGGTTCACGGAGCTGGACCTCCCTGTCGTCAGGGCCGCGTGGCTCTCGGCCCCCTCCCCCCCGCCAGGGCGCCCCTCTTCTCGGGCGCCACTCCAGCTCCACCAGAGGCACCTGCAGGGCGCGTTGAAGGCTTTCGCTGCGCGATCGAGGGTTGCACAACCTTGTTTCTGACTAAACGGCAATGGCTTGTGCGTGTTCGGGCGGCACGCGGTTTTAAGACGCTACTCGGTGAAGCTACCCAGGGGGCCCTGTGCTTCGTTTGTTGCAGCAGGTTTCAGAGTCGGAATTCGGCCTACAACCACGCGCTGGATTCGTTCGCCTGGGGTTCCGCAAGCACCAGCTCAGCACTACTTTCGAGCTCGGGGCCCCCCGGGGCCCTTCCGCCTGCCGCCTTGCGATGATCGAGCCCCTATTGGAATTCACCTCCACATCCACACTCGGATTTACTTTTGAAGATCTGCCACTCGCGCTGACTGATGGAGCTCGACGAGCCCAGCTGGGCGGCGAAGCGCGAGGGCACGGCGCCGACGGAGGAGGCCGACTCGAGGTCTGCCAGGCAGGCCTGCCTGCTTCAGGAGCCCGGCGAGGAGGCGACGGTCAACCAGAAGGGCGGCAAAGGAGGAGCGCTCAAGGCCTTGCTGCCGGTGCTCACGAAGTTCGCTCTCGCCAACGCGCGAGCTGGCCGAGGTGACTGGCGCCTGTTTCACGCGCTACATGGTCGGCTTCGAGGCTCCGTTCGTCAAGCCGCTACAGGAGGCAGGGCGCGCCTACGCGGAATGCTGCAAGGTCGACGGCAAGGATCACCCCTGTGCGAGTAGAGAGGGGATCTACGCCATGGCAAGGGATGGGAGGGAGGGGTAGGATGTCACATATGACGCGAGCGCACCTAGTTTGCCCCCCCCCCCCCCCCCCCTCCCCCCCTCCCCATCCCGGGGGCCAGGCCGTCGAGAAGGCGGAGGTGCGGCACGGGGGCGCGTTCCTGGAGGTGCTCCTCGAGCCGCGGGGCGCGTGGCCCTCGGGGGTCTTCGCCGCGCCCTCGGCGGCCGGCCTCCTCCTGGAGGGCGGACTGGGGAGGGCGAGGGGGGGGGGGAGGGCGAGGGAGGAGAGGAGGGGAGGAGGGTTCCTCTTCCTCCTCCCTCCTCCTCCTCCTCCTCCTCCTCCTCCCCCTCCCCCTCCTCCTCCTCCTCCTCCTCCTCCTCCTCCTCCTCCTCCTCCTCCTCCTCCTCCTCCTCCTCCTCCTCCTCCTCCTCCCCCTCCTCCTTCGAGGTTGGGTGTCTTGGGAGTTTAGGTGTCCTAGGTTGCACGTCAGGACCGAGTACGCACGAGCATGTTCAGCGCGGATGTCTTGGGCTTGAGCCCCCACAGTGTCACGATAGGCTGCCCGACGGATTCGACTGAGCTCTTTGACTATGTCTTCGCGGTCCTTCACCTTCGTCCAAAATACCCCCTGTATGTTTTCAAGGGGTCCCGCTTGGTTGCCCGCTATGGCCGCTTCCAGGGCGCGTGCGGAGAGCTCTTCGATTATTTGGATTTCCTTTCGGTCGAAGCCACAGAGGTTTTTCGAATGGGGGGTCGCCGCCTCACGCGGGAGCCTGAGCGCAAGGGCGCCGATCGGGTGCCCGAGAAGATATCCAATAGATTTGCTGCTCTTCGCGGGATCCGCCAGGGTCGCCACGCCGGGCGTCATTGAGAATTCGAATATTCACGGATCGATGTGTTGGGGTACCACGCTCATTTCTCGGAGCTCCAGAGTTGGCCTCAGACCAGCAGGCGCAAGAAATTGACAAGGATGCCGAGATGGTTGATGCCACGAAGACTCGAAAACGTACCCAGATGTGCGAGTTCACCTTGGCGTGGGGCTCCTCGCGTCGCCGCCTTGTTCTCTCGGGCTTGGCCGATCCCACCGGCGACCGAATTGATGCCCCAATTGGGGTTGCCCAGCGGCTGGTGGATCACTGGGGTGCTGTGCGTTCTGCCGCGCCGTTCGACCCCGACGCCCGACGCGAGCTTTTTCCCCATCTCCCTCAGCTCGTTTGTCCCGTTGAGTGGGAACTTTGGTTCGACGAAGTTGCCTCCGTCTGGATCCGATGGTCTGGCATATTCTTTTTGCAGCAATGTCTGGATGTTTCCCGTTATGGTCTCTGTTTTTGTTTTTCCCGACCATCCTGTGGAGTTGGGTTCTCGTTTTGAAGAGACGGTGCCCCGCGTTCCTCTCCTCTCCTCCTCTTCCCCCTCCTCCCTCGTGCCCGCGCCCGCATGCGTCAGCCACACCCATTTCGGCACACCCCTCACACGTTTCGTGGCTCCATAGGGAGCTCCACCGAAGGCCCCAGTGCCCGCGCCCGCATGCGTCACCCACACCCATTTCGGCACACCCCTCACACCCCTCACACGTTTCGTGGCTCCATAGGGAGCTCCACCGAAGGCCCCAGTGCCCGCGCCCGCATGCGTCACCCACACCCATTTCGGCACACCCCTCACACGTTCGTGGCTCCATAGGGAGCTCCACCGAAGGCCCCAGTGCCCGCGCCCGCATGCGTCACCCACACCCATTTCGGCACACCCCTCACACGTTTCGTGGCTCCATAGGGAGCTCCACCGAAGGCCCCAGTGCCCGCGCCCGCATGCGTCACCCACACCCATTTCGGCACACCCCTCACACGTTTCGTGGCTCCATAGGGAGCTCCACCGAAGGCCCCAGTGCCCGCGCCCGCATGCGTCACCCACACCCATTTCGGCACACCCCTCACACGTTTCGTGGCTCCATAGGGAGCTCCACCGAAGGCCCCAGTGCCCGCGCCCGCATGCGTCAGCGAACACCCCCCACACGTTTCGTGGCTCCACATCCACCGAAGGCCCAGTGCCCGCGCCCGCATGCGTCACCCACACCCATTTCGGCACACCCCTCACACGTTTCGTGGCTCCATAGGGAGCTCCACCGAAGGCCCCAGTGCCCGCGCCCGCATGCGTCACCCACACCCATTTCGGCACACCCCTCACACGTTTCGTGGCTCCATAGGGAGCTCCACCGAAGGCCCCAGTGCCCGCGCCCGCATGCGTCACCCACACCCATTTCGGCACACCCCTCACACGTTCGTGGCTCCATAGGGAGCTCCACCGAAGGCCCCAGTGCCCGCGCCCGCATGCGTCAGCCACACCATTTCGGCACACCCCTTTCGTGGCACTCCACCCCCCATGCGTCAGCCACACCCATTTCGGCACACCCCTCACACGTTCGTGGCCCCATAGGGAGCTCCACCGAAGGCCCCAGTGCCCGCATGCGTCCCGCACACCCATTTCGGCACACCCCTCACACGTTTCGTGGTGGCCCCATAGGGAGCTCCACCGAAGGCCCCAGTGCCCGCGCCCGCATGCGTCACCCACACCCATTTCGGCACACCCCTCACACGTTCCGTGGCTCCATAGGGAGCTCCACCGAAGGCCCCAGTGCCCGCGCCCGCATGCGTCACCACACCCATTTCGGCACACCCCTCACACGTTTCGTGGCCCCATAGGGAGCTCCACCGAAGGCCCCAGTGGGTGTGCCCGCATGCGTCCCGCACACCCATTTCGGCACACCCCTCGTACGTTTCGTGGCCCCGTAGGGGGCTCCACCGAAAGGATATTCACAATTGCAGTATTCACAATTGCATATGGTTGGGTCCTTCGCCAGGGTAATTGTTCCAGGCGTTGTTAAGATTTCCCTCGCGGTCGGCCCTGGCTCTAAGCATGCTCTGATGATTTTCTTGGCCACGGGTGTCCTGCCAACGGATTACGCCCATGGTGCTCTGACATTGTTTCGCGCTGAGTCCGCCACAAGACCGATACCCTCACGCAGTGGTGACAACTAGCTGATCGATTCGTTGCTCTAAACAAACTTATCCGTTGAGTTTGCCAATGTTGTGGCTGCTCTCCCCAGAGGGCTTCCATCCCTCGGCGATCGCTCACAGACAATCTCGTATCTCTGGAGGCCCTCGTTTTGCATTGGCTTGTTCAAAGGCACATGCTGGATGCTCGGTTCGTCTTTTACTGCATTGCTCCCAGCTTCCCCAGCATTCTCCACTCCCCCACCTTCTGGGTCCTGGAGTTTATAGGTCTGCCCCAGAGGTTCAGCAAGACGATAAGGCTCATGTGCGCGGAGTGCTGGGTTACACTATCCTTCAATGGGAACCAGCAGTACCGGTCCAGGGGTATTAAGCAGTGGCGTCCTTTCAGCGGATCAGTGTAAGCCTTTTTTCGTCGTCTGATTTGTTGTTTTCCCCGTCAGCTCTCTGTCATGGGGGCGCTCGCTGATGATATTGGCGTCGGAGGGCCTCTGTTTTCGACGTGCTGGATGCCTCCCTGTTTGTGTTCATCGTGGCCCAGCGCGCCGCGGGATTTGGTTTAGAAGAGGCTGGGACCCTCGTCGTCGCGGCTACTGGTAAATACCTCGGTGTCCTTCTCGGGCTTGGTGGTTCCTCTTCTGCTTGGACTGGGCCTGGGCTTAAGTTCGTGCAGCGTATCCAGGATATTCATGGACTCCAGCTCGGACTCGTGAAGGCGGTCGCTCGCTATAACGTGTTTGCGTTGCCCCCCCTCCCCCCACATTGCTCGAGCAGAATCAGGTCTCCAGCGGCTCACAAATAACCCTCGCATGCATTCCCGCCAAGTCTTGGTTTGTTCCCTCTCTTCCCTCGGACTCCTGGTTGATGCTCTCCGACTTGACTTGGTGAGCCGCGCCGCCGCCTATCGTGTTGCCCTCTCGTCCTCTGTTTGTTCCTCTGTCCAAGCCCTCCTGGAGGCTTTGAGTGGCGATAGCGATTGTGTAATCTTGTGTCGTCGGCACGCGTGGTATAAGAATTCGGTGCACGCGAGGCTTGATAGTATCCTTCGAGTCGTGTCTCAGATCCCCAATGCTCCCCCATTTGGCATTCGCTCGTTTCAGAAGAAGGCTCTTACACATGTTGGAGATGTGGCGTATGGCCTCTCTTTGTCCTCGTGCGACCTTTGCTGCTCGGACGCGGCACTGGGCCTCAGCCAGCAAACGCGACTTGGACTAATGCTTGACGGCGTGCCAGAGGATGGCCTCGAAACCCCCGTGAACGCTTGGTGCACCTCTGGCCGGATGCGGGGTCACACGAAGTTTTTCCTGTTTTGCCTCACCGCTTTAGCTGGTGACACCCTCTTGCACATTCTTGTGTGTCCCATCGTTAGGTCTCGCTCCTTCCGCGCCTCCCTCCTGCCGTGGCTGCCTCCTTCGATGGTCGAATGCGTGCTATACTTCTCTATTGTTTGCCGCCTCCCACCGACCAGCTGAAGTTTGTCTTTTGCTGGTTAGACTTGGTCTGCAGGTGTCCAGGATTCCCAAAGGAGACCCGCTTCGCCCAGCTTTTAGAGCTCGCCTCGTGCAACAGCTTCGGAGTCAGCCTTCATTGGCGTTCTTGATTGACTAGCCTTCCCCCTGGTCGTGTTTGCTGCGTCCGCTTGTCTTTTCTTTCAGGGTGTGGCTTGTCGCTAACCCACTGTGGAATGGCGCCCCCCACAGTGGTGCAAAATGGTCCTCTCCGATAGACGCACCCCGCTTTTTCCTGCATGCAGTCGGACCGAGGTATAACATCGAGGTCGCTTCGGGGAGGGTACCCTAGTGTTGTTCGCGTTAGCTGGATGTTCTTGCGCATCCTGGGGAGGTTACTCTTGGATGTTCGGTTTGTTTTGGCCGATAGAGGGCTTCATGTTCATGAAGGACGTTATTGTCGCCTAGATCCGACTGTATCACCTTCTCTGACCTCTCTTGTGGCAGTGTTATTTATCATCCTCCTCGTCTACTTCCCTATAGATAAATCCTCCCCGTCGCACCCCCAGACGTGCATGTAGGCTGAGCTGGCGCTGATGCCTGCTCGCCATTTATTATCGCTGAAAATTGAAATTGGCAGGAACCTGAAGGACGGAGCATAGGTTGTGGCCAACATGTGCCCCTCGCCCTCGCGCCGCGCAAATTCGTTTTGCAAATTCGAAAAAGTCTCAAGGCTGGAGGTGACCTAGTTTCGAAATGTGGCTTTCGCCTAAGCGCCGCGCACATTCGTTTTGCAAGTTTGCAGTAGCCGTAAGGAGTCGTGGGGTTGAGGTCCCAGGAATCGTTCTCCGTCACGGTTCAGGATCGCCACAAAGCAGCAGTCACGTGGATTCGTGGTGCTGCAATCTTAAGAATGGTTATTTGCCGCGAATTGTGATTGCCAGGGCACAACAATCACGTTGATCCACGGTGTTAAAGTCCCAACGGTGATGTGTCAAGTGAGGATTCTCATACGGTTGTCTTTTGATGGTGCACTTCCCGCAATATAAACAATTTCGTGTAGGGACTTGTGAAGAGGGAACTTGCTTGGGAGGAGGGTTAATTGCAACATCGCTGATGCGTCTTGGGTTTACACTGGTCCTCCTCCTCCTCCTCCGCCTCCCCGCCTGAAGTCAAAAAGCCTCCTCCTGCAACTTCACTTCCGTTTCCTCCTCTGGTTCTTTTCTCCTTCCTCCCTGTCTCCGATCCCCCCTTCCACGTCCCTCCATATTTCCTACCTCCTCCTCCTCCTCCTCCTCCTCCTCCTCCTCCTCCTCCTCCTCCTCCTCCTCTTCCTCCTCCTCTGAGGAGGAGGAGGAGGAGGAGGAAGATGAGGAGGAGGAGGAGGAGGAGGAGGGAAGCAGGGGTGGGGAGGGGGAGGAGGCTTTTTGACTACCGGTTCGGGCGTGCGTGGGCGTCTGCCTAGCAGCGGGCAGAAGGCGGCCATTGAGCGGCTGGGCAGCACGGGCGGAGGAGGGGGAGGGAGGAGGGAGGAGGGACAGCGAGGGGGGAGGGGGGAGAGGAGGGGCAGGAGAAGCGTCGCCAGCCCATTCGCGGCCACCGTGCTGCAGCAGTGTGGCACACCTGGTGGCGCTAACGATGAACGGAACACTCTTGTCTCGAGGTGCTACAGACCTTGGTACTGCAGGTCTCGCTGAACGCCTGACCCGTATACACTGCGGGCCAAGCTGAGCCTGTAGGATGGCAAAATGCCGTACCTGTTAGTAGCACGGCGTGGTGCGAAGGAGTTTAGTCCCCAACACAACAAGATAATTTGCCAGTTGTCATGCGCCCAACACTCAGCAACAAAGATGTGTCTGAGAGCTTGCCCACTAGGTTAGGCAATGGTGCCGGGTTGCAGTGCCAGGCCCCTGCCCCGGGGCGACGTGTGGGAAGGATGAGGATGAGGATCGATGAGGGAGGAGAGAGGAGGGAAACAGAAGGATGCGGAGGGACGACGAGGGAGGAGGAGGAGGAGGAGGAGGAGGAGGAGGAGGAGGAGGAGGAGGAGGAGGAGGAGGAGGAGGGGGAACATCAGGAGTCCCTCCTCCCTCCTGCTCCCCGCGCTTCTTGCTTCCCTCTCCCTGCCTTCCTGCCTGCCAACCTCACTCCTTCTCGATGTCCGATGCTGTGGGTCTATGTTTCGGCCACCTTCTGCTTCTCCTCCCCCCTCTAAAGAGAGGATCTCGGGGATCGGATTTTGAGTTTTTGTTATTGTTATCGTGTTTCAGATTGTTGTTGGCCTCCCTCAGGCTTCGCGTTGCCATAGCTGCATTCCCATCGGAGGCCTCCGTTCTTGCTGGCGGCGCCGCGAGAGCGCGAGTATCGCACAGCGCGAAGCGCAAATTTGGCCGACTTACAATAGCGACATCTATATACGCAGATGTATAAGGGGTAACACAATTGTGTACGTACTTATATATCTATATATACATATGTATAGACATTGCACGTGTATACTGATGTTTAAATATAGGCGTCCGAACCTACATAGTTATTATATATATATATATGTATACACGTGTTCGCGCGGGGTTCTTGGGTCGGCGCTGCGCGCCAGGGGGCGTCGGAGCCGCCGCACGGGTGAGGCGGCGCGGCGACCCAAGAAATCTGCGCGGACTTTCGAAAATACGTGTCAGTGCTGAGTGTGTTCAGGAATATACTGGAGTACCCCAGGATCGCAGTTCATGGAGCGCTGCCTAAGGACGTGGTTTGGCTGCACCCTGGGCACGACTGCCTGCAGGTGCTGTTCGAGAGGGGGCCAGCGCCGACATTGCCGCCGCGAGTGCTGGGGTGCAAAGGGGCTCCGCATAGGATAGCCTGGGCCCGGGGCTGCAAGGACTGACTGGAGTGCCCCTCGCGTCGTTCGTTCGCACGTTGTCGGACCTCCTCGTTGGCAATCAAACATTGTTCATCCCAGCGGCATTCGGCTCGCGCGCGTGCAACTTCGTGAGCCTGGCTTGGTGGGCCGTGATCAGGTCGTTTAGAAGGGGACTGAACGAAGGGTAGACGGGAGATTTGCAGCGACAAGACGCCTTCAGGTGTGTGTCATGGACCCGTCGACCTAACGAGGAGGCAGACGCGTTTGGCGCCGAGCATCCAGTCTTGCGCGTGCCTTATGGTGGGGGATCATCAATGTTGTGGGTGATCGGAATCCAGCATAGGGCTGCTCCATGATGGACAGTATTTCTTTCCTCTTTGGTCCCGCGCTTTCCTTCTCCTCATCACCCTCCTCCATTCTCCCCCTCGTGCTCACCCGCACTGAGACGTACATGAGTCACTCACCCAGCCTTCCTTCCCCTGCACAGCGCGACACACGAGCAAACAAGCGACGTTCAGCCTCCGGCCGGACCCACTGGGCCCAGACGCGGATTCCAAGTGGAGCACGCCGTGGGGGACCAGCGCTGCGACGTGCGCGACCGCCTGGTCAGGTGCGAAGAAGGAGGCCGCGCTCCTCTTGGCCTCCGAGTCCTCGGCAGGGGGTGCCCTCCTCCTCCGTCAGTCCTCTTCGAGGGCACACGTAGCGTTCCAGAACAGGCATCGCCTCCTCCTCAGTCCTTGCCCTCCTCGAGGGCACATCTTCCTCCTCCTCCTCCTCCTCCTCCTCCTCCTCCTCCTCCTCTTCAGTATTCCTCAGCCCTCGTCCTCTTCAGTCCTCGTCCTCCGCCTCCAGAAAAGACACCTTCCTCCTCCTCCTCCTCCTCCTCCTCCTCCTCCTCCTCCTCAGTCCTCCTCAGTCCTCCTCAGTCCTCCTCCTCAGTCCTCCTCAGTCCTCCTCCTCCTCCTCCTCCTCCTCCTCCTCAGTCCTCCTCAGTCCTCCTCAGTCCTCCTCCTCCTCCTCCTTTTTCTCCTCCTTCCGCCCCCGGCCTCCTCGAGGGCGCACGCAGCGCTCCAGAAGAGGGCGCCGCCTTCGGCGCGCCGCGCCTCGGGCCGAGGAGCCGGCGGAGGTGCAGCGGCAGCGGCTCGGCACGGGGGAAGCTGGCGGAAGGCAGGCAGAGAGTCAGAGCCCCGAATCATCAGGGGTAACTCGGGTCAGGGATAACTCGGGTTCGTTTTTCGGGAATCCGAGCCCGAGTTATCCCGGACCCGAGTTACCTCGGATAACTCGGGCGTCCAGAGCCCCGAATCATCAGGGGTAACTCGGGTCAGGGCTAACTCGGGTTCCTTTTTCGGAAATCCAAACCCGAGTTACCCCGGACCCGAGTTACCCCGGATAACTCGGGCGTCCAGAGCCCCGAATCATCAGGGGTAACTCGGGTCAGGGATAACTCGGGTTCGTGTTTTCGGGAACCCGAACCCGAGTTACCCCGGACCCGAGTTACCCTGGATAACTCGGGCGCCCAAGGCAGAGAGGGCGGCGGAGGGCCGGCGGCGGAGGGCGGAAGCACAGCACCAGCGGCGGGTCTAGGGGGCCACACGCGAACCCTACCCCTAGCCTCCACGATTTCTGAGGGAGAGGGTGGGGTTCACTTCGCTCGGGAGCTCCCGACCCACCCTGCCCCTCAGAAATCGTGGGGGGTAGGATTGGGGCTCGCATGTGGCCCCATAGGGTCCGCCAGCGGAAGCTGGTGGACGCTCGGCGGCGCGGGGGGGAGGCGAAGGCCGGGCGCCAGCAGTGCTGGGCCTGCGGGGCACCGGGAGTCGGCCAGCGAGGGGCCCGCCCGGGTCTTGGTGGGCGTCGGACGACCCTGCGGCCCGACGTCGCGGACATGTCTGGCGCCTGGGCGTAGCCCCGGGTGTTTTGGGTGCGCAGCGCCCGCTCCAGGTCCTTCGCATCTCTACGGCCAGGCCCGCGTCGTGTCGTCCAGCGACGCCCCCGCCGCCGGCGTTCCACGTGAAACGCCGCCGGCGACCCAGAATCGGGCGACGTTGAGCGATCTGACGTTTCGGAACCAGCCGATCGTTCGAGGAGTAACGATCCCGGCGGTGTTAGGAGCTAACGCCGAAGTCGGCACGACACGAATTTGCCGTACCCATATTTTCTTGCGTTGCGGTGAAGGGCCGGTTGTTGCGCAGCGCGTGCGCTGTGCGACGACGCCCCCGCTGTCGATTGTTTTCGTAATCATGCAATTCGCATCAACGTTAGATGCATTGTTTACTTCATGTGATTGACGGTGTTACTAAGAGCCTGCTTTTTACTCTGGGGCGATAACGGGCGCCACTGGGGGGGTGGAAGGGGGCCGGTGACGTCACGTTTCGCGCTGGCGGCGTTTGGGAATGCCCGGGAGTGACCGAGGACGGGTAGGAGCAGCATGTAGGTGAGATTTGCACCACAGCACCTGTGTGAACCTCAATGCCTGCGTGCACCACAGCGCCTGTGTACACCACAGCGCCGATGTACACCACAGCATCCGCGTGCAACACAGCGCCAGTGTGCACCACAGTACCTGCGTGCACCACAGCGCCTGTGTACACCACAGCGCTTGCGTATACAACAACAGCCGTGTGCAACACAGCACCTGTGTACACCACAGTGCCTGCGTGCACCACAGCAACCTTGCGCAACATAGCACCATTGTTGCATGTAGAATTTACAGAAATCCTCATGACAAAATGGAGCGCCTGTGGACTCCACAGAAAACACTTGTTGAATTAGGATTAGGAAGGTAAGCCTTATGGACAGAACAGCGCTCCTGGAGTCGACAAGTCCTCCCAGATCCTCCCGCATCATCCTAACTCGTCCAATATGCGTCCAGAAGGCTCCCGCAGAGTTGGCCGTCCGAGGACCACTTGGACTGATTCAGTCGACCATTCTGCGGTGCACATTGAGATGCGCACGTCCGCTGTCCGCACGACGAGGGAAGGGTGAGGGAGGAGGAGGAGGGAGGAGGGAAAAACATCGCATTCTATTCTCAGCACTCCCTGTGCGTGGTGTTTCGCTGTCCGCAGCTCCGTCTACTTGTCCTGTGCACGCAGGCCCTCTGGCGTGCACCAGCGCTGTGTTGCACGCGGATGCTGTGGTGTGCACAGGCGCTGTGGTGTGCACGGGCGCTGCGGTGCACGCAAGCATTGTGGTGCACACAGGGGCTGTGTTGCAGACGGCTGATGCGGTGTACAAATTTATTGTGGTGTACACAGCCGCTGTGGTGCTCGCAAGCAATGTGGTGTACAAAGGCGCTGCGTTGCACACTGCTGTTGCGGTGTACACAGGCGCTGTGGTGTACACGCGCGCCGTGGTGCACGCAAGCACTTCGGTGTACACAGGCGCTGTGGTGTACACGCGCGCCGTGGTGCATGCGAGCATTTTGGTGTACACAGGCGCTGTGGTGCAGATCGCCACCCACATGCTGCTCTTAATTGGCCACGGTCATCCTTAGGCATTCCCGGACGCCGCCGGCGCGGAAACTTGACGTCCCCTGGGAGCGGGGGCGCGGGGCCGGTGACGGCCGCGATCGCGGATAAGAATAGGCTATGATCTTCGTGCTTGTCCTTATTATTTTTCTGCTGCTCATCGTACTCCTGCTCCTGCCCCCGCATTTCCTAATTCAGCACCCCATACCTCTTGCGGCTTAAATCATTTTGGTTCAGCCATCGCCGCCAAAAGGTCTCTCCGATGCTAGACATCCAGCGGGGATCTCGACTACGCGTGGCTTCCCTCGAGGCGGCCAGCGAGCAGTGCGCGAGCACGAAGAAACGAATCGAAGCGCCGCAATTGTTCGGCAAAGGGCCAAAATTCAGCCCCAGCCACTGGGTTGCGACGGTCAACGCGTGTGGGAAAGGCAGGCAATGGCAACGGGCGCTGTCGCTTCTCAAGGATGTGGTGGATGCGAGGCTGCAGGCTGACGTAATCATGTATAACACTTTGATCAGCGCGTGCGGCAAAGGCGAAGAGTGGCAGCATGCTCTGTCGCTCCTCTTTGAAATTCGCGAGGCGGAATTGGAGCCTGACGTCGTCAGTTACAATGCTGGTATCAGCGCTTGTGAGAAATGCGGGGAGTGGCTGCAGGCACTGGCGTTGCTCAACAAGCTGTGGGTAGCGAAGCTGCATCCCAGCGCCATCAGCTACAACGCTGGGATCAGCGCCTGCGAGAAAGGGGGGCAGTGGCAGCACGCTCTCGCGTTGTTCGGCGAGATGAGGCGCGCGAGGCTGGGGCCCGACGTATTCAGCTACAGCGCGGGCATCACCGCGTGTGGCCAGGGCGAGGAGTGGAAGCAGGCTCTGTCGCTTCTCGGCGAGATGCGGGAGGCGAGGCTGGAGCCCAACGTCACCTGATCTGCACCGCTTTGGCCCGCGCGTGCGAGATGGGAACTCCATAGATTGTGCCCTCTCCCAGCGCCTTCGCCTTCGCCTGGGCGGAGACGCCTGGGCGGTGGCGCGTGGGCCACGCCGCCGCTCAGGGCGCCCCCGACCGAAGCCCTCTGGGGTCGCTCCGAGTCGGCCCCGAAGGAGGCCCAAGAAGCTCCGAACATGGCCCCAGGGGGCCCCCGGATGCCCCGCGCACGTGCGTTCCCCTGGGGGCGCGAAGAGGCCCGGCGGAAACCTCACCACAGACTGCAGGAGGCGATAGAACTGTTGGCAGCAGTCCGGGCCACACGTGTTTGTCCCATGCTTGGTGCTCGGTTCTGCCCAGCACGAGGGCGCCCGGGCTCTTCGAACAGAATGTGGCAGCGGCTGGGTTTGCCATGATATCTGGCATCGGAGGCCGACTTTGCGCCCCCGGGGCCGTCAGGAAACGGCTCGGACCGAAGCGCATGGCCTCGTGGGGAAGTGGTCGAGAGCCCCGGGGCCCCTGCTCCGCGAACAAAAAGCTCGCTGCGCCGGATGCCTGGCCCCCCCGCCATGGCTCCTCCTCCTCCTCCTCCTCCTCCTCCTCCTCCTCCTCCTCCAACTCCTCCTCCTCCTCCTCCAACTCCTCCTCTTCCTCCTCCTCCTCCTCCTCCTCCTCCTCCTCCTCCTCCTCCTCCAGGTCCTGACGGAAGGGCTGCGATCTCGCGCGACGGGCGGGGTTTGGGACGGCTCCTCGCTCGGGCCGCGGAAAAACGGCATCTCTGCGCGAGGTCTTGCGCCTCTGGCTCCCCCAGGGCGCGGCACTGCCCCGTTCCCGCTGCTCAATTGGGCCCTCCTCGGCCCCGGGCCTCCCCGGGGCCGGGCTCCCGGGCTCCCTCGGGGGTGCCGTGTGTATTGTTGCGCTGTGCCGTGCAGTGCAGAGGCGTGCCGTGTGAGTCTGGTGTGCTGCGCGAGTGCAGAGGCGTGCGGTGGTAGGAGGCGCCAAGCTGCAGTAGGCGGTACGGTGCTACACCACGCGATGCGCAGTGCTTCACCGCGCGACGCTGCGTCATGATGTCATGGGAAGCTGTGCTCGGGCATGCTGAGCTACACCATGCGATCCCGCTGTCATGCAATGACATGTTACGGCGTTCCAGGCCATAAGCTGGCACTCTCTGCCATGTTGTGACATGCAGTGGTACACCATGTAAGGATATGATATGTGGCGTCATGCTTCGTGGCGTCAGATAAGACTGTGTATTGCCATGGCATGTACGGCCATGCTGTTGCCACGGTAGTGGGTTTCCATGCTATTGCACGGCAGTGCGATGCATGTACTATGAATTGATGTTGTGTGTTATGCCATGATACACTGTACCATGCTGTGCAATTATGGTCAATGTTAGCTTCATGTGGCCGCCACAGAACACCAAGGAGGCGTCCACTCCCGCTGCACTGGCCTCCACGACAGCCCCAGACGCACTATGCCACCAGATAGTGCTAGCGTGGTGCCAAGGGGCTCCAACACAGCTCCTCGCAGAGCCCCGAGGTGCGAAAATCCAACCGCCCCAGAAAGGCTCAAAGACCCTTCAAGGCAGCCCCCAGACCTCTCAGGAGGGCCTCGCGAGGCCCCCGGGAACTCCAGGGCGGCCTGGAGAGGCTCCACTAGACCCCAAGAAGGGTTCAACACAGCCTCACAGGGCATCAAGAGGCCCAACCCAGCTTCAACGTGTGACCCCTCAAGATATCACTGCTCGCTCCTTCGCCCAGGGCTGCGCGACTGCCCAGCAGCGAGCGGCAACGCACAGCAGCGTGCGGCAACGATCGGTGCCGAGCGGCATCGGCCGGCCCCAAACGCGAGCAGGAAACACGAATTCGGCTGGTGACTTGAGTACGCCGAGCAGTCAGCACCAGCAATCACTGGCAACAGGCTGCATCAGCAAGGCTCGCGCAGCAACGCAACAGTAGCAAGCGGCAGCGGCGGGCACGAGCGGTAGCACGCAGGGACGGCATGCAGCAGCATGCAACAGCAGTCAAGCAGCATCAATCAGCACCAACCAGCAGCACGCAGCAGCATCAACTTGCAGTAAGCAGCAGCATGCGCCAGCAAATACCATTCAGTCGCGGAAAGACGCCGCAAAAGGCGGCGAGTAGCAGCACGTAGCAGCCCACCACGCAGCGGCAAGCGGCAGAGAACGGACGAACAAGCAATGAGGCAAAACACAGAAAGCAGTCGAGCAAGCTGCAAGCTGTCAGGCCACCAGCTATAAGTCTCTCTGGCAGGAGCGCAGGCAAGCAGTCAAGCAGTCACGCACGCAAGCAGTCCTAACCCTTGCATGCGGATAAGCTTTCGTGGCCGCCGGGAGGATTTCGATCGGGTCATTAATTATGCTTACTGTGGATTGCTATCCACGGGTCTGCCCTAGTCAGCTACAATGCTGCGATCAGCGCGTGCGTGAAAGGCGAGCAGTGGATGCAGGCTCTTACTTTGCTCAGCGAGATGCGAGAGGCGAGATTGACTCCCGACGTCATTAGCTACGGTGCTGGAATCAGCGCGTGCGAGAAGGGTGAAAAGTGGCAGCGGGTTTTTTCTCTGCTAAGCGAGATGGTGGATGCGAAATTGCTACCCGACGTCTTTTGCTACAGCGCTGGGGTCAGCGCGTGTGAGAAAACCGAGCAGTGGCAGCAGGCTCTGTCATTGCTCTTCCAGATTCACGAGGCGAGGTTGAAGCCCGACGTCGTCAGCTACAACGCTGGGATAAGCGCGTGCCAGAAGGCCGGGCAGTGGCAGGAGGCTTTGTGTCTGTTGTTTGACATGTGGGAGGCGAAGCCGCAGCCTGATGTCATTTCAGGTATGACTCCGTGCCAGGTGGGTGCGAGAGAAGTCCGAGAGTTGCAACCTGCTTCAGTGCAGCAGTCTCCCCGGAACCGGCTCGCCCCGCCTCGCCTCCCCCGTTCCTCCCCCCCTGCCCTCGCCCCCCCCTCCCCCGTGGCCTTTATCCACGGGGCCTCGCCTCGGTCCGAGTCAGCTACAACGCCGGGATGAGCGCGTGCGAGAGGGGCATGCGGTGGAGGGAGGCTCTGTCGCTGCTCCACACCATGCGGGAGGCGAAGCTGCAGCCCGACGCCTTCGTGCTCCTCGGGAGCCTTGCGACGGGGGTCAATGCCAACGGGGGTCAGTCAGAGCGCCGGGTGTTGCAAGATCCTGCAGAGCCAGGGGCGCACTGACCCTGGCTTGGGCGCAGGATCTTGCAGGATCCCGCAGGTTCTCGCAGGATCCCGCAAGGCCTGACTGACCTGGGCCTGGATCGACCTGAGTCAGTAGATCCCCCGAGTCTCCACCCTGCCGGACGCGGCGCGCGCCGAGGCCTGCCAGAGGCCCCCGCTCCGTGCCCTCCTGAAGGCTCGGTGAGCAGCGCCTCCCCCCCCGGCGGCGCATCTGTCTGTTTCGTATCCTGTGGATCCCTTCGGGCGTTGCGCAATGAGGGGCGACAATTCGGGGGGGAACCTCTTTCGGGGAAGCGTCAGACTCGAGTACGCCGGAACTCGGGTTGCCCGACGGTTTTTGACGAGCGCGTGCTGAATTTCGTGGGATGTGTGCAGGCAGAGCTCGCGTCCAATCTCATATTGGGTCTCGTCATTTTCACGACGAGGGCCAACCCGAGTCCCCCAAACCCGAGTCTTACGTCTCCCTGGAAATGGGGTTGAACGTACTGTTCGGGGAAACACATGTGAAGAGGCACCCTGCTCTACAGCCGGCGCTCCAGGAATTCCTGGAGGTGCGTGAGCAGTACCTTCAAGACAGGGCTGTCCCAAGGACGTGCTCCCTGTTCGGAAGACGTTGTCCTGCGTTCGGGGGGGGCAGAAAATAGGAGGGGGCGAAGACAGGTGCCCGCTTTGTGCACCGTAGGGGCTCTGAGGGGGCTCTCCTGGGGCCCAAGCGGGGCACGAAGGGTGCACGTTTCTCCCCCCATCGATATCGCCCCCCCGCTTCGAGCAGAGCCGAGTCCATCGTGACTCCTGGAGACGAGGGGCGCCCGGTGTTTTTTTCAGCAGGCGATGCTACGTCTGTGTATGAGTTAGCGCCAGCTCATGGGCTCTTGAGAAACCCAACTGGTGCCTGAGCTCTCTCTTAGGACTCGGGCCAATCCGCCCCACCCCTCAATCGAGTATGGGGGTCGACTACAGAACTTCAAAAGCAACTGTGTTCGTCGACTCTGCAAACCAGTCGGTAAGAATGTCCGCCCGCCGACAAACGCTCGGCGTACTTTCTCCTTGCAGATCCGACGACCGTGCCAGTCCTGGGCTCGGGGCAGGCAGCGCCCCATCCCCCCCGTGGCCTCGTGGCCCCCGCTCCTTCCGCCGGCGGGCGGGCGGGCGGCCCGCTGCCACGCGGCCTGCCGGGCGGCCCGCGGCCACGCGCGGCCGCGCGCAGCTGGCGAGCGGCCGGGGGCCCGGGAAACAGCGCACCGGCACCCGCCACGGGCTCCCCGCGCCACCGCCGGCCGCACCGCGGAGCCGTCCGAGGGCCGAAGCCCGGCTGGTCGGCGGCGAAGCCCGAACCCGACCCTCGCCGACGTCGACGCTGCAGGCCACGCGAGGGGCGGCCGGGGCAGGGTTCGGGCTTCCTCGTCTGGGGGGCGAAGTCCAAGCCCTATATACCGCCGCCTCCCATCGATTCAGGGTGAAGCGATGGCTGGCGTGGGCAGGGTTTGGATGTCGCCACCCGCTCTGCTCCCGGGCCCTCCTCCGAGGTCGCCGGGAGGCGCTCTGGAGGGCCATGGGTTCACCCCCGAAAGTCCGGAGCACCCGAGTGTTCTCTCGACGCTACTTGCTGCGCGGTTGTTCTGGCTCTTGGGCACCCTCAGGTACGTCCACAAAGAATTCCGAGAAGTGTAGCAGGCCATTCTCAAGATCTCTCCCCGGGCTCCTGCCCCGCTTTTCGAGACCCTCCTCATATTCCTCCAAAGCCTCTCGCCAAGTCCCCACAAGGTACCATAATCGCCCACCCTTCCAAGGCACATCCCAAGACTCCACATTGCCTCTTCGATACTTCTTTGGACCACTCCAGGCCTTCCAAACACATCCGATTCGAAACGTTTCGCGCCTGCCGTTGACTGAATCCTTGCTACTCTCCCTCAGCACCATCCATTCACGACGCGACTTCAGAGGATTCGATGATGTGCGGTCTCCCTGTTTTCCCTCACACACTCCCTAATAAAAAAGAGCGTGTTGAAAAAACATAATTTCAAACAAATCTCGTCCAACGTGCAAGTGTCAGTCCCCCAGTTCCCAGCAAGATGAATGTCATGCCTTTGCGTGGACGTGTAGCGCCAGCCCGTGACGGGAGGGGGTGCTCCGGCATCTCGCGTTTCTTCCTTTCGTTCCTATCGTGTGTTGATTTTGAGCCTACGGCGGGCTCACACTATCTCATACTCCGTTGCAATCAGCGCGTGCGAGAAAGGCGACAGGTGGGAGTCGAATTGAGCGCCGAGCATGATCGTCTTATTCACGCTGCTGGGAGAATTCGTACGCGAAGTCTTCGATTCCGTCTTCTCCCTGTCTTCGTGTCGGTTTGCCCGGGGTGATGCCGCTTGGACTCCGCTGCCGTTAGAGCGTCCCAACGTTTTGCCAACAAAGAGCGTCGGAGCGGCCCATCGTTCTGCTCCAAGACGGCTTCCCCTGCTTTTTCAGGAGTGCTCACACGGCTCTGGGGCGCTCCGGGAGGCTCCAGGAAGGCTTTTATTGAGGAGGGCCCGAGCTCGGGGTATCCGAGGGTCAATGTGGCCCCAGGACAGGCACCGCGGCCCCCTGGGCATTCCTGATTCGCTGCCAAGGCTTCGTGCACCAGGGTGGTCTGCGCAAGCCCGAACGCCTCCGCACTCACCCTTCCACCCATTCAAAAATCAATCACGTGAGTCACTGGACGTCGATCCATGAATTCTGCACTTACTGCGGGCCAGCACTAGTTAGCATTTCTGCCGTTCCCCTTGCGTGCGGGAACGGCTTCTGTCGAACATGTCCCATCGAGCTTCCCGCGGGCCCGGAGGCCCCCCAGGGAACCCCAGAAGACCCTGCTGACAGTCTGCGGGAACGCCAGGAGCTCTCGAAGACGACCGAGGAAGCCTCCGCGCAAGCAGGCGAAAGAGAGTCTCCACCAGGTTATCATTCTTCCATGGGGGCTCTGGGCTCTAAGCTGTTCGGCCTGACATAGTGCCAGGAGTGCTTCGCAGGCCATCCGAGGGCCCGCTGAAATGTCAAAGACGGCCCAAAGAGGGTCTCAGGATGTCGCAGGACAGCCCCTCAGAGGGGCTGTCCTGCGTCCTTGGAAGCCTTCCAGAGGCTCTGGAAGGCTTCCAAGACAGCCCCAGGAGGGCTCCACGAAGATCCAGATTGGCCGCGCGGCAGAGCCAGCAACAGCAGACCCGGCGCAGCAGTGGAGCCAGCAGCAGCAAGTAGCAGCGAGCAGCAGGAGCAATTAGCAGAAGCAGGCTGATCCAGCACGCGCCGACAGAGCACAGCAGCAAGTGTAGCCGCGATCAGCAGGCGCAAACATCAGCACGCAGCGGCCAACAGAAGAAGCACGCGGCAGCAAAAGGCAACGCGCAGCAGCAACAGCAAGCATCAGCACGCAGCATCAACATGCCGCGACAAGCTGCAGCACAGAGCAGCGGCTGGCAGCACTGAACAGCAGAACGTTGGCGGCAAACCAAGCGCAGAAGCCAACATGAGCAACCATGATTTATCAGCATGAGGCAGCAGCAACAGGCCACGGCAGACAGAAGCGAACATCAGAAAGCTTCAGCAAAAAAGCAGCAGACGCCAGCGAGGAGCTTTAACTTGCCACTGCGAGCAGAGCATCAGCCAGGTTCTCTGAGTTGCAGCAAGCAGCAGCGGGCAACAGGGAGCGGCAGCGAGCAGAGGCAAGCGAGGGCAAGCAGCGGCAGCAGCTGGCAGAAGCAGAGACAGCAAGCCATGGGGCCGCGCAGTCGCCTTGGTGGCGAGACCACGCCTGCCCTCCCAGAGGGTCTTGTGTGGTGCCACGCTGTGGTGTGGCTGGCCCCGCCGTCTGCGGAACTGGCCTGCCGCTCTCGTGTGCCGTCGCCTCGGCGACGTCGCATCGGACGAGCGGCGTTTGCAACGTGCCCTGTCGCTTATGACGTTTGGCTCTGCCAGGCTCCACGTTGCGTCGATAGCAAGTCACGGGAGCCTTGTATGCCCTCGCAACTCCGTCTTTAGAGCGCACTAGCGTCAATTAGCGTCGGGGGACCGGTGGGATAGCGCCGAAGTAGCACCGAATAGTGCAGATTTAGCGTTGACTAGCGTCGATTAGTGTCGATTCGCAACAGCCAGCAAGATGGTACGGAATGCTCCAAGATGTTGCCACCGAACGCTGCGTTGCCTCCGCAGTCCCGTGCAGCAGAGAAGCCTAGCTTCTCAGATGGTATGGTCTGCCGTGACGTGTCGCAAGCAAGCTTATCCATCCGGGCGTTGCGTTTTGCCACGTGATCCGTCACAATTGCGAGCCAGCAGGCCAGCCCTAGTGAGCTACTGCGCTGGGGTCAGCGCGTGCGAGAAGGGCAAACAGTGGCAGCAAGCTTTGCGGCTGCTCTGCGAAATGCAGGAGGTGACGGTGGAGACCGACGTCATCTGCTACAACACTGGAATCACCGCTTGCAAGACAGGGGGGCAGTGGCAGTACGCTCTCGTGTTGCTCAGCGAGATGAGGAGCGCGAAGCTGGGGCCCAACCCAGTCGGCTACAGCGCTGGCATTTGCGCGAGCGAGAAAGGCGGGCAATGTCACTATGCCGTGTCGCTTCTCAGCGAGATGTGGGAGGCAAAGCTGGAACCGAGCATCATCCGTTCCTTACAGTGATGGCATTAGCGTGTGTTCTGGAAGATCGGGCAGCGGCAGCAGGCTCTGTCGCTGCTGAGCGAAGTGCGGGAGGCGAAGCTTGAACCCAGCGCAATATCTGCTCTTCAGTTCCAGCCGTGCGCGTTCCAGACAGGGAGCAGTGTTTCGCATGCGATTTCTCGCCCCCAATCCCCGAGGTCACCCCCCGGAAGAGGAACAGAAGGGAAACCAGGACGGGGATACACTTCCAGGGGTCAATCCGGACGCCGCGTATCGAGGGACGCCCCCCCCTCCCAGCATGTGCCCCCCGACTTGGCCCTAATCTTCTTCGCCCAGTCGGCAGTCCCGCACGAAGTCGGGATCTGGGTCGCCATGCCCCCCCTTTAGCACTGGCCCTCAGCCCGCTCTCCCGCCCCAAGGCTGGTCCAAAGGCCGGCCACAAAGACCGGCACCAACGGCCGGCCACAAAGGTCGGCCCCGAGATCAAAGGCTGGCCCATGACAGCTGCGGGGCAGCTTCACGACCCGCTTGGGCACACCCCAGGTCCCAACAGGCCTCCGACGTGCCCCCGAACGGCTGCACGGCAGGGTCCCGGGCAACCCCGAAGAGGACGCGAATGGGCCACGGACATCAGAAGCAAAATGGCACCTCCACGTTTCCAGGCCCTGGGCCTCTCGACCCGGGCCGACATAGGCCCAAGACAGCTCCAGCGGTTGAGTCCGACACGCGTTCCCCTCCTCCTCTTCCTCCTCCCGCAGAGGAGGAGGAGGAGGAGGAGGAGGAGGAGGAGGAGGAAGAGGAGGAGGAGGGGGAGGAGGAGGAGGAGGAGGGGGATGGGGGGGGGGGGAGAATGGGGGGAAAGGGACGCCCTTGGCTCCACTGTCCCCGCGTGCTCAACAATCGAGCTGGGCGAGTTCGCCATTCTCGGGCGGGACCTCGCCAGCCGCCCACAGCAGCAGAGGTCGAATAGATCTGGGCTCGCCCGCAGCTGCGAGCGCGCAGGAGGGGGACCAGGACGTATAGGGGCATTAGACGAGCTTAACAGAGGGGAGGCAAGAGGAGGAGGAGGAGGAGGAGGAGGAGGAGGAGGAGGACGGAGGACGGAGGACGGAGGAGGGAGGAGGAGGAGGAGGAGGAGGAGGAGGAGGAGGAGGAGGAGGAGGACGGAGGAGGAGGAGGAGGACGGAGGAGGAGGGGAGGAGGAGGAGGAGGAGGAGGAGGAGGAGGAGGAGGAGGAGGAGGAGGAGGAGGAGGGAGGAGGAGGAGGAGGAGGAGGAGGAGGAGGAGGAGGAGAGGAGGAGGAGGAGGAGGAGGAGGAGGAGGAGGAGGAGGGGAGGAGGAGGAGGAGGAGGAGGAGGAGGAGGAGGAGGAGGAGGAGGAGGAGGAGGAGGAGGAGGAGGAGGAGGAGGAGGAGGAGGAGGAGGAGGAGGAGGAGGGAGGAGGAGGAGGAGGAGGAGGAGGAGGGAGGAGGAGGAGGAGGAGGAGGAGGAGGAGGAGGAGGAGGAGGACGGAGGAGAGGGGGAGGGGGGAGGGATGGGGGGAGGAGGGAGGCCGAGCTGGCGCTGCCAGGCGGGGCCGCGCGGCCGCCCGACCCCGGGCGGCGCCTCCCGGGCCCGCGTCCACGGGGGCCGCCCGAGGCGCCCGCCGACGGACCTCCCAGGCCGGCCGAGCCCCGCGGTATGCTATCATCACGGCATGCGGTGTTCGGTGTCTTTCGGCCCACACGCGGGCCAGGGGCCTCTTTTGGACCCCTGTTGGCTCTCGTGGGGTGCTTCTCGGGGGCATCTGGGAAGCTTGTTGCAAGGGGCTCCTGAGGCATCTCGGGGGCCTCCAGAGGGGCCTCTCGGAGGCCTTTTCGGGCCCTCTTGGGGCCTCTTGGGCACTTTGGGGGGCTCTCGGGGACATGTTGGAGGTCTTGGTGGCCACCCTTGGGGGAGGGCCTCTTGGGCCGCCTTGTGGCCCTCTTGGAGCCTTCTTGGAGGTCTCTTGGGCCGTCTTGGGGCGCTCTTGGAGGGCTTCTCGCCCCGCCTTGGGGCGTCGGAGAAAAGGCAAGATACTGCCAAAACCAATCAGAATGACCTGACCTGATTCGAATCCGTGAGGCTGGCCTCTGCTGAGGGTCCTCGTGGGGCGTCCTGGAGGCCTCCTGGTCCTGCTCGGGGCGCTCTCTGGCCGACTCGGGGCCCTCTCGGGACCGCCCCGGGGGCCTCCTTCGAGCCCTGCGTGGCCCGTCCGGGCGCCCTCCCCGCGCCCTGGAGCAACATGTCGCGCGAGATGCTGCCCCCCGAGAGGCGCGCGCCGAGGTCCCCAAGCTTTTCCTGGCAAGGAGGAGGAGGAGGAGGAGGAGGAGGAGGAGGAGGAGGGGGAGGAGGAGGAGGAGGAGGAGGAGGAGGAGGAGGAGGAGGAGGAGGAGGAGGAGGAGGAGGAACTAGGGGGGGCCGGTGCCGCTCAGAAAGGTGCCTGCCGCTTTTGTCTGCTTCACAGTCGTGGTGTGCTCCGCTTTCCGTTTCTTTTTGCGCATCTTTTGACGAGTTGCCAGTCGCGCTCTTCGTCTGCCAACGCGTCCTTCTGGAAGCTTGGCTCTGCTGGCTGCCTGGCTGGCTGCACCTGGATGTTCGGTGGCAGGTAGAGACTCAGATGAGGAAAATGCACCGATACCGCAACCCTTCCTCGTTTTCGCCTTTTGGGCCTCGCGGGAGACTCTCGTCGTCACCGCTGGATTCGCCGTGAGATTCTGGTCACAACGCACCCTGGGAGAGGTCTGGGGAGTAGCGGAATCAGTACCAATTTTGGTTACCCCAGAGACGCTTTGTCCTCGCGCGCGTTCCACCCCACGTTCCCAGTACAGTCATGCCCCCCTTCCCCTGAAGGCAGTTGCATCTGCACGGCGGCTCCACTTCTGGACCTCATCCATGGGCCATTTTCCTAAGCTGCAGAGACGGGGCCAGCGCGTGCGAGAAGGGCTGTCGGTGGGGGGCAAGCGTTGCCACTGCTGAAAGCGAGTTGAGGGTGGAACTGCAGCCTGACGCTGTCAGCGAATGACAAAGCTGGACCCAGCGGGTGCGATAAATCGGAGCGTGCCTTGCAGGTGTTTTCTTTACTCGGCGAGGTGTGGAAACAGCCCAATACGTTGAAGTCCATGAGCTGTTACGTTGGCGCCATCTCGGGCGAGAAAGGCACACGATGACGGCATGCCTGTCGTCGCTCAGTGAGTGATTGGCGAAGTTGGGGCAATCCTGACCAGCTGCAGCGTTGGGACCAGCGGGTGCGAGAAGGACGGGCCAACGCGGCGTTGCAAGTGACGAGGTGAACGTGAGCGGCGCCTCCTGTAGGATTACCATGAGCGTGCCGCGGCACGCATGAGGTGATGCACCCACTCGCTTGCAGACCTCGACTGGGACAGTCGAGTCATTATGTATTCGCCTCTGGACCCTCCTGTACCTCTTCTACCTCTTTCTATCTCTCCCTAGGCCATTAACCCCCTTCCATCCATTTCTTCATCTTCTTTCACCACTTCGCCTAGGGATTGCGCATATCTGATCGTTGATCTCGAGCTCTTCCTCGTGCAGAGCACGTCAAGAACGTCGAGTCCAGACACCCCCCATCCATTCCCCACCGTTTCTTGGCGCGCCTTCTTAAGCGCGAAGGAAGACCTACCCCGCCCAGTAGATGTCATGCACTCGGCGATAAAAGCCTGACGTGCCATGCTGGCACGTTGGGCTTGGGGGCGCGAGATGGCAAGATAGGCCTGAGGTACAGCAGGGTGGGTGTCTCCTTCCTCGCCCTTGCTCTCTTGTAGAAGGCCAGGCGCTTGGCAGTTGGACGGAGGGGAGTCAGAAGTCAAGCTTGGCCTGGGGAAATGGCCGATTGCAGGTACGATGTGCGCAGGTGGGCCATATGCTACAAATGACTAACCAGGTGCCGCAACGTAGGTTTGTTGCTCCAAGGTCCACGTCATGTTGGGCATAGCGGCGCCACGACGTCGTGATGCAATCCTTTCTCGTTTCTCGTTTCTCGTTCCTCGCCGGTGCGTTCCCTACCCCACGCTGCGCTCCTTTCCCCTCACTTTCTGCTCTTTTTCCTCGTCCTTCTGATATGTGTGCCGTATCCTAAACCTCTTCCTCCTGCCCCTGCTCGTTATTTTCCTCTCTCTCCTGCTCCTTCTGTTCCCGCTTCTCATCGTCGTCCTTCTCGTTTATATCTTGTCCTCGTCATCATCACGTGGCTACTCTGGCTCAAGATCGAAACGGGCGACCTTGCGCTTCAAGCTTGGACGCAGCCAAAGGCCTGTTTCGGGAGCCTTGCCTCAGGTGGCTTTGGTCCACACACCTCATTACGGCTTCAGTTTGCCTGCCTGTTTTCTCTCTCTTTATTATTTGGTCGTTCGCCTATTCCTCACCTCCCCCACTGTCACCGATGCGGGCCCGAAAGGTTCGGCGATCCGCTGGGCTACCACCTGGCCAGCCGCCAGCCCTTGTGGCCTCCTGGGCCGCCGCCGGCGTCCCCTGTGCAGCGAGGGCCAAACAAGCGCCTGCCGAGTTTGGGAGAGGAAGAGCAGCCAAGAGCAGGACTAGGTTGAAGACACCGTCAGGAGAATACTGACGGGACCGAGGAGACGAGGAGAAGGAGGCCGAGGAGGAGAACGGTGAGGGGGGTAATCATGTAAGGAAGAAAAGGGAGAGGAAGCAGAAGGGTGTGCGTATGGTGAGTGTGTGTGTGGTGTGTATGTGCTTGCGTGTGCTTGCGTGTTTGTGTGTGTGTGTTGTGTGCGTGTGTGTTTGTGTGTGCTGTGCGTTCGCTGTTCATTGGCACAGTGCGCCCCCGCCGCCCGATAACGAGACGAGTGTTTTTTCGCAGCGGGGTCTCTGGCTTCGGCATCAGCGGCGGCAGGGCGAGGCGGGGCGTGAGGATGGATCGTTCTTCTTGGGGGCTGGTGCCAGGTTGCCGGCGCCCAGCTGGTCTTTCATCTTTCGGGGGAACGTAAGGCTCGAGTTCGCCAGAACTCTGGTTTGCCGACGCCT